TTTCCAAAAATTTGACTGAATGTGAAAACCTGAATGCGTGGAAAGTGATAGAGGAATGCCGAAGTAGACTTAACTCATGGTTGTTGAGAGATATTAGTTTATTGGCCCGAATATTTTTGACTAAAATGAAAAGTATCTCAAGGTGTATTTATCCTGCATACTTGACTGCTATTCCTAGTAAAGTTATTAAAAAGATCAACCAAATAAATTTTGACTATATTTGGAGGAGAAAAGTCCACTATGTTAAGAGAGCAGAGATGACCAAAACATTTAAAGATGGTGACCTGCAAGCTATTGATTTCGACTTTATGAATGGAACCTTAAAAATCAATTGGTTGAAATCCTTTCTGAACAACAATAACTTTTGGTACCATATCCCCAGAGAAATATTCAAGAAATTAGAAGGAATAGAATTCTCAATTTAATGTGATTTCACTATTCAAAGACTTCCAATTAAATTATCCCTTTTTCGCCAGCAGGTTCTTTTATATTGCAGACTCTTATATAATCACAATTTCACCCCCATAACTCTCCAATATGGAATAATAGATATATTATGGTTAAAAACAAATCGCTGTACTACAAGGACTGGATGGATACAGGTATTTGGTCTGTGATCCATTTAGTAGACTGTAACGGCTGTCTCATATGAGAACTTCTGCCTAAGACACGACCTAACTGGCAATCGTAATCTATTTAACTCAATAACTAATGCCATCCCCAACTCTATTATGTGTTTAATTAAGGGTATGTTAATGAATTATACTCCTGTCACCCCCTGTCTCCCTCTACTTTTAGTTGGAGGCGTGGACTTTAATGAGGTAAAAATCCCCCACAAAAAAACAATTAGGAATTTAACATCACTAACATCTCATACCCTACTCGATATGTACTATTCATTACATTTACTCATTGAGCTGAAACTTTTATCCAAAGCGACTTACAATTGCTATACATGTCAGAGGTCGCACGCCTCTGAAGCAACTAGGGTTTAAGTGTCTTGCTCAGGGACACAATGGTGGATGGGTCACAGTGGGGGATTGAACCGGTCTCTCACACCAGGCGTCTTATCCATTGCGCCATCACTCGTTACAAACCAAATATTTAAAATTCCCTATATTTCCCAAAGCCAAAGAAATCCCACATTGACAGACATTGACAAGCTACATTCTGCACACAGCTGCTTGAAAGGCACCTGAGCTTCTCTACTCCCTCGTCTCTCTCCGCCGACAAAGATTAGCAGGCAGGCGAGAACAGGTGAGCATCACATAGTGCCCAGAGAATCTGATAGGGCAGAGGAGAGTACCGGCAGTTTGTGAGGAGTGCCAGTATGCAAGAAAAAAGTCCCGGTATGCCAAAGAGTAAAATGCCACTTCAAGCCCTGGTCATGACACATTCTGGTAATTTATAGGAAGTTGAGATTCACTATCCTACTGTTGAAATAACCTCTGACCAAATACTGCAGCAACAGTTCCTCCCACCTTGTTTTGGTCACATTGTCCCATGCTGGAAAAAAATCTGAGATAAACCAAAGTAAAGGATACCTAGCACTCTAACCTGGCGGCTAGTATGCAAGAGACAACCACGGAGGATTGACTAGCTTCCTTTGCTGGAAGATGTTTAGACAGGATCAGGTCCTTGTGTTGACAGGAGGGGTCAACAATGAGTGCCACTTAAGGATACATTATTGACTGTTTCTCCATGCAGTCACTAATGCACTAATGGAAGAGTCCAAAGCTGTCAAAAGATATTTGTGCTACAATGCTTAAACAAATGAATAACCAATCGGAATACAAGACGATGAAGCTATGGATGGACAGTTATGTCAAAACACACACTTGCAGCATCTTAAACAGACTTGAAAGAAAAACAGTGAGATGAAGAGGACACTCAATAAAAAGACCATTAGGGCTTCTTGCTGTAGCGGAAGATTCAGAAGCATGAAGGAAACCCAATTAAAACAACATCAACAAAGGAAGAGTTAGGCAGTTACAAATTCTCTTGCAGCTAATATGCCCCTGTCCTCTTTTTTTGCCGACACGCACTATGTCTAAATAATACTTGCTCCAGCTCCCTGCTTGAGTCCCTTACATGGGCTTTTGTTACACATGCGCATGTGAAACTGCCATGTGAGTGTATGATTTGTTTGATTCTGTTGTTTTTACAGTTACTGTTTCCAAAGCTAGATGCTGTTGATGAAAGGTCATGTGTTCGACCAGAAGCTTGTCTGACTGAGTAAAATATTTTGTCCTACACTGTATACGTATATGTGGTGATTAAGTGAAATTTTAAAGTATGAATTAACAAGCAAAAAGTCTGTCTGATGACCACTGCTCCTAACATTAAAGACTTTTAATAGCCTTTAGTATGTCTCAATGATTAATCTCTCTAAAATAACATTCCTAACCTAACTCTTCAGGTTTACATGTGAACAAATCCTAGTTCTTTCCTAGCATTTCTTTCTCTGAAATACATGAAACAGTGAGGAAAAACAATTCCAGTCCAGGATTTAGAGCAGTAGCTCATCGCTTTTGTTCTTGATGTAATGCCTTCATTCTCTACTGAGACAGCGGCGCATGTAGCCAAAGCAAAGGGAAGATTTTGTGCACAATGAGAAACTCAGATGGATGATTTGGGACCAAATGTAAGCAGAGCTGCAGACAATGGAAGAGTTCCAGCTTTGAGCAATTGGACTACAGAATCAATGGACAACACTTACAGATGCAGTGTCACACATGACTAATAGACTGGCTTAATGAGGTTCACATGTCACAGAACAGAATGTGCTTCCAGTACTAGTGTAACTTAGATCAATATTGAAGAATGTGAGATCAACAAATTCACATCTGCAAACATACTGTGATTAATCCAAAACAAAAATGGTTTGTCTGGGATTTTCCAATGGAGATAGAGGCAAAGGGATTGGTATCATACTGGGTGTTTGGAGAAAGAGAAGATGAAGGAGGGAAACTCATCTCATGGGTTGAGTAAACAGACATCACTTCAGGGTAGCTTCCCAGCGTTTCCTTCACGGACTGGCTGAGGCCGGGTAAGGTTCTGCAGGCAGAGCTGCTGCCCACTTTTTAAATCTGCTTTCTAAATAAGTCTTTCTATCAGTCATTCTGTTCACTTCAACTGATGCCACTTCTGAAGTCATGGTTCAGATTGTCTTTTTTAATTGTCTTATTTAAAACATTCTGCAAATAATCACTTGAGGGAAATACTGGAATTACAGTGCACCAGAAAGAAATGAAGACATTAAATAAACATGGATACTCAATCCATCTGTTGTTAAAAACATGAAATAATTAAATACATGTGTGTAGTTTTGAATGGGCACTCAAATAAGTAATTTTAGACGACCAGTAACAGTAATTTTACTATTACAGTAACAAAAGCAAAAGATTAAGTACTAGACTCAAGGCCTGATGAACATAGACAACTGGACAAAATGAAAAGTTTAGCTGTCAAAAACACTGATTCTGTTCATGCTTGACATACCTGAAAAAGGGAAGGGCAGTTCACAAAGGTAAAGACTACATTATAAGCATCTGCAAAAAGGCCCAGCCTTCCTTCTGAACAATATTGATCACTATTGGAGAAAGCGCTGCCTATTTGGCCCACTTCCTGTTTGTAACCTCGACTCCCAACTTTGTCACAGCCAACTGGTTGACTATTAATTAGGGGAGTGTTGTTGACACTACTGTGGGAATGTTATTTGTTCACCGCTACATGAAACTGATAGGTCTATTCAACTGTCTCGCACTGCGACTTATGGGCAAGTGAAAAATTGTAAATGTGCGTACTCATATCTCACAGTACATTCTTATCATTAAGACTTCCTGCTCACAGATGGCTTTAAATATGTGTCCTAAACTGAACTTATCAAACAGCAAGCAAAATTAAGTAATGTTGAATGCACTTCTAAGCGGTTAAAATAAGATAAAAAGGGATTTACCCCTTTAACAGTCAATTTTAATGTCCACCAATACAGCAAAATCTGACTGAACTAATATAACCTAAAATCAACTTCAAGTCAAACTGCTAAATGGTTTGAAGTATGAAAAACTCTAGAAGTCACAATGAAGGCATGCCAATGTTCCTTTCGTTCACATATTATTGAATCAGTTCTGTAGAGGATAGAAATACATTTTTGACTATAGACCGAATGCAATGATCAAAGTAACTTAAATATTAAAAAAATATGGCAATATGTAAAAGGGTTTGAAAAGTCACACAGGTCTAATGGTGCTACTACAAGGCTTGTTGGACTTGTACAGACATTGGACGATTTTTTTTCTATTATCATTTGTATGGCTCGCGTACTAGTAATGCATTTTAGCTGACACTATTTTACTCACAGTTTGAAGTAGTAAAGTTTGACTACAACATCCCAAAGACACTTTCAGATAAGATCGAAATTTACTGTAATGTTTGGAAGTTGGGCTGATGGTGGCAGTATTGTAATGACCCCAAAATGTGTGGCCTGCAAATATCTTAGATTCATATCTTATCAATTTGCCTCATAACAGTTCCGTGAGCTGCCACAGACCATTGCAGATATGAGACATAAAACAAAGCACACACAAACAACAGGGTGCCAAAAAACTTTCAGTGCTTTCCCTCACCAAAGAATGGAACACCTGAAGGCCTCATTATATCACATGTTGGAGTCCTAAATCCCCATGAATTTTGTATGTGTGAGCGTGTAAGTGCATGAGATTTTGAAGAGCAGGACAGCCGTATTGTAGCGGACCTCTCCCTGAACTCTGTTTTCTCTGCAGGCATGTTCACTAGCAGCTGAGGCCGGTAGGGGTTCTGCCCGGCTGGCCCAGTCATTAGCTCCTCCACAGCAGGCTCCCAAAGCTGTTCTGCTAATGGACGCCAAATAACCTAGACAATCCCTCCAAAGCACACATAAGGAACTCATACCACAATGGATGCATTGCACCTTTCCAACACCTTGCATCCTCATCTGTGCAAAAAACTTTGTCAACATCTGCCGTTTCCCCCCCTTTTATTACAAACACAGTATTCCATTTCCAACAGGGATAACATTACATACAGTAAAAAAACACGCCTTTTTAAAACATTTTTCAAGTGCTTAAATAGCAGTAATGTAAATTTGCCATCCTAACTATGATAAACACAGTTTATGTTACTTGGGGGAGAGGGAGCAGGGGGTTAAGTTGCTGTGACAGTGCAAGTACACTGTGTGCTGAAATATCAAGTTATTTCTATGCTGTATGTCTACAGACTGGGTAAAATTAAGAGCTACACGGTAGTGACCTTAACTACTGAGTTACTGCTCCTGTTAACAGTTTGCACTGCATTGTGAAGTCTGACATGACTGGTACAACCTCACACTTCATTGTCATACAAACAGGTAGAAGTACTGCATTCAGTAAGTATAAATAGGATAATGTGTTAAGCCTTCTTTCATGTACATCATAATTACAACTAGAAATTCCCAAATAATCCTACAAGTGAAAGTTAACAGATTATCGCAGTAAATGTGGTTTTATTCAAAACCTTCACAAAAATCCACAGACTACCAGCATTTTCATGGTATAAAAATAAGTTACAAATCTGCATAAATATTTTTACACAAAACAGTTATAAAATATGCTGTATTTTCTGACAAGGTTACACAAAACAGTTACACCATTGGGTATTAAGAATATTTTCAGTTTGGTGCTTGTAAAAAAAAAAACATTCATGGATGAACACAAATTTTAAAAATTGTTAGTCCAATTTTACACCACACTTTGCTACAACAGTTGCTCCATATATACACAACACTGAAGAGGGAAAAAAGGAGAACTGCAGCATAGCCAAGTTTTACTTCCTTTTATTGCCACTTCACTCCCCCCGTTCAGCAGAGACAGATGAAGAGCGTCCTATCCCATATAGATAAAACTCCTATGAACAAGCATTTCCCCTATCGAGTCCACAGATGACTCCTTACAGGCTGTGCACAAAACAGGAGAGGAAGACAGAGAGAGGAAGAGAACAAGTTGTTCTTAGTTCGTCATGAGAGAGATTACAGTATGAGAAATGGGCTTTATCCTGGATGTTCAGACATTGAGACTTCCTTTGCAGACACATTACACTGTGTATTTTAGAGCTTTTGCACTACTGAGGTCAATTAAGGGAAGAATGAACAACATCCAAATATGACCTCATGTTTGAGTGAGACTAGGGACTGCCAAGGGTCGTGGCTCCAAAATGGCCTGTTTCCCAATTAACTGGCTTCACGGTACATAGTACGCGTAAGCGATAAGCAGATCCAGAACTACGGGTAATACTGCTGATGCACAAACATTCCCATACCATCTAGGCATTAGCATCGTTTGATCGACACTATAGCTAAATGAAAATGAAATTTTTAAATATGTGAGATACTAATATAGATGTGGCAGTTGAGTTATTAAGCAAGAATATGGCAACAGCTCTGTGTTGTCAGCATAAACAAACTAACATTACTGTGAACTTCAAAAGCTGTCCACAGATAAAAGATATGCGGTAACACTTTCTATGAAGGTCATCGCTATAATGACTTATGCATATATTTATAATACGATATAATGAGTCCATAAGACATTATAACAATTGTTATAATCACTTACAAACATGCATTAGGCGCTTTAGCAAAGTTCATAATGTATTATGACCTTTTGATTTAATGTTTTATAACTAACAGTAATACCAGTTTATATCAATGTGCGGCAAGAATCTTCGACCATGTTCCATAACACATTATAACCACCGACTTTACCTCGTTATGAATACACTTTAGTCACCATTTACAATTAGTGATATAAAATGGAATAGCTTATAGTAATGTTTAAAGTTATATAGCATGTCTTTGTTTGCTTTAAGTAAAGTGATAAAATATCCATCCCTGTAAAATATATTACAGGTGGACATAATACCATATGAACTAATTATAAGACCTTATAACACGTAATAGTTTGCTTTAAGTAAAGTGACACATTTAGCGCAGGAAAACAACTTTTATTTATGTTTCTTCACTTTATGAACAATCTGTATGAATTTTGCAGTTTAGCACAAAAACATTTAATTACTTTAAAATGCCTTTTAATAGGCTACGTTTTGTGAAGTGGTTGTCTTTAATTGTCCACTGCATCTGTTAGAGCCTGTCCATAGGCTTGCCATTCATCTGTGACAACATCTGAGCCTCTTCTTACATGATGTTGGTCGACAACAGGCAACCCAGACAAAGAGCTTTCTGGATGTAATTATGTTGTGTTTTTGTGCTAAACCGCAAAATATTCAAATACATACATATACATACAGATTGTTCATAAAGTGAAGAAACATAAATAAAAGTTGTTTTCCTGCGCTAAATGTGTGTCACTTTATTTAAAGCAAACAATTACGTGTTATAAGGTCTTATAATTAGTTCATTTGGTATTATGTCCACCTGTAATATATTATACAGGGATAGATATTTTAACACTTTACTTAAAGCAAACAAAGATATGGTACATAACTTTAAACATTACTGAAAGCTATTATTCCATTTTATATCACTAATTCTAAATTGTGACTAAAGTGTATTCATAACGAGGCAGAGTCGTGGTTAAAATGTGTTATGGAACATGGTCGGAAATTCTTGCCGCACATTGATCAAAACATTAAATCAAAAGGTCATAATACGTTATGACCTTTGCTATAGTGCCTAATGCATGTTTGTAAGTGATTACAGCAATTGTTATAATGTCTTATGGACGCATAATATCGTGTTATAAATATATGCATAAGTCATTATAGCGACGACCTTCATAGAAAGTGATACCAGATATTCTTTTATGCGTCAGCCTACCCATTCTGTGCATCTGTGACTACACCATTGCTGCAACAAATTGTGCCGGTGCTGCCCTTATTACAACAACAATTTAATTCAAAACTGAATTTTCAAGAAAATAAATTTGAAAGAAAAATAACTGAAAAACCAAAATCCCTTGGTTTTATTTACATTAAAGAATGTAATTTTTAATTTGTGTGAATAAAATTCAATTCAAATAGAATAGCTGCTAACATTAGACTTATATTCCTATATGCTTGTAGTGTGTGTAGGTGGTTGCAGTACAGTGTAGTAATGTATGTTTTTGTGCATTCATCATTTCATTTGTTGGCATCAATACCCAGGTCAAATCACTTTTGCACCAACTGTAATTGATTAACATGATTGTAATTACTGGCTGTGAGCTACTGAAGAACTATGTTTCAACAAAACACACACACTATAGTAATGTGTGTGTAATATCTACATTTGGATATATATTTAAGCAATATATCTTTATCTAACACACACACACACACACACACTTCAGCTTACCTACGCTTCAGCCGCTTCTGAGGAAGTGCTCTGAAAAGACAGAAAAAGTTTGTGAGGTCACTGTGCAACAGCATGTTTGGTATTCATGTCATACAATGTGATCATTGTCTGAGCAGATTTCAGTTAAGTATGACTTGTGACAAAATGCAACAACCTCAACCTAGTTGAAATAATATAATCCTAGACTGCCACTATGTCTGTCTCTTTCTGCTTGTCCCATCCACATGTACAGGGGTTCAAACACCCTACTATATTTACTGCCACAGGCACCAACCACCTCATTTGTTTGGGGATTTCAAGCATTAGGACAACCTTGACATAAACTGGCTGAGTGCTGACGGTTATATTCAACTATGAAACCAGAGTCCAGCAGCAGTCCCTGCAGTTACTGAGCCATCAGGTCTAATTAAAATCAGCCAGCATGTGTGCTGATCAGCACACTTGTGAGCCATATATCTCTCCAGTAAGATGACCACTCTGTTATTTTAGGCACATTGTTCCTCTTTCAGGATTCATTTTCAGCCTTTTATGGTGTACCATAAAGCTAACCCATAAAGCTAAAGCTAAACCTCGATGAGTGTACTGAGTGTGACAAAGCTGCACAGGATTCAAATAACATCATAGCTAATGCTTAGCTGAATGTGGTGCACAGAGAATACAGGCTGTGGAGTTACATTTCCAGAGTATCAAGAATTGATTTTTCCTGGTTTAAAATCTTAAATGAACAAGGTGATTTTGACTACATCGCTTCCTAAAATAAATCTTTTGTTTTCATATTAATCAGCTTAAACATGCAGCCTGATTATATCGCCAGGGAAAAAAACACCTCTAATACATAAATAACAGGCTAGTGCATGTGCTTTCTGACCAAAACTAAAACTAAATCATATCTTGCTACATATCTTGCTTCAGTCACTGGCATCCTCAATCAGGTTATACAGTGTACACTGTATTGTACACTATTGGCTGGCTTCATCCATCTTCCTCTCGCTCACACACACAAAATGTGTTTTCTCTACACTTGTCATTTTTAGCCTAATTCTTGAAGTCAGGTGTTGGTGCCACCTGGTGGAACAGACTGTACAGGATGCTGTGCGCGCGCGCGCACACACACACACACACACACACACACACACACACACACACACACGTAAGGCAAGGGCAAACGCTTTCTTGTGGCACTTAAAAGCTTCACCCAATGAAACCCACGGAGGATTAGATAATATTTACACATAGGCAACATGTGTTTGGCTGTGACTAAATGGATCTTCAGCAGTGTGTGCTTATGTGTCTGTGTGTGCATGTGCACAAAGAGGCCACTGCCAACATCCCTCAAAACACACACACACTCACCTATAGATGTTTGGGTCTAGCATCATGGCTGTTTCCTGTGGTAACTGGGACAAGTGCACCACTTTAGTCTTCAGCTGAGATCTCTCGGTTTCATTCACCCACACATCAGGTAGTCTGCAAGACATTACACACACACATGCAGAAAGAGGACATTTGGTCAGGGTTTAAGCTCTAACAAGAAAGAGGGAGAGAAACTGGGGTATGGAGCAGGAGTAAGACTGAATGGAGAGGGGGGAGAGAGTTGGACAAAGAGCCTCATTGAGTCCAGTACACGTGTTAACACCTTCCTTTGAACAGTGGGTACAGTTCCATAAGTAACATGGCCTTGATCAGGGCTGGACTGGGACAAAATAAAAAAAAATCGGCCCTGGCATTTTTGGCATAGGTGGGTTCTGCCCTCAGCAATACACCATCCTTACATATAGCATGTACATGTGGTAATATTACCAGCTGAGTGGTATGTACCATGGATAAGTGTACCAGTACAAGTGAATCAGTGTACTCATTCACACTCATTTACTGACTACATGTTGATCAGAGGTGGCCATGGAGTACACAACTCATACTCAAGTACAAGTAGCCTACAAGTCATTTTCACAGCAGTGTGGGATTACCAATGCAATGCTAACCTCACCTCCACCATTAGAACAGTTAACTAAATTCAAGACTGCATTAGGAACTATGCTAGCTACAAAACCAATGTCAAAGAGCACTGTATAACAGTGAGTGATCACCAGCAGTAGGTGACAGTCTCACTTTATGATAGCGTGATCATTATGTTATTATCATTGACCTTAATTGAACTAATCATCATCATTGTCACTATGGCATGGCACACACTCTTCCCAAGGGCGTCACTTTGTGCTAAAAAGTGGTGGGGACATTTAAGGGCTCAGATTTGGGGTGTGACGAAACACAGCCCACGAGACGTGACACTGCACAAGACTGGGGTCATGAGAACAAGACAAGAGTATATTTTAATACTATTTAGAAAAAGATGCAGACGTTTCTTCTATATTTAAAGTGCATTGCAGATTTTCTTATTGTGCAAATAAACCTTTCCTAAAGCATTTTCATTTGGTAATTAACATTTCTTGGTGCAAGTTTTGTTTAGAAGATTTTTAACAAATGCTTTCAAAATGTGATGGGAACAACATCTGCCATTTCATAAAGTGGGTACATGTCTTCCCCAGAGTAAATGACACCTATGACCCCACCTCTCTACTCCCTCCCTACAGGTTGAGCTACTCCATGCATACCGCTTTACCTCCACTCTCCTCCTGCTCTCTCTCTCCCTCGGCCCTGTCACGGTGTCTGTACCTCTGCTTCGCTCTCCTTTACTCCTTTAAGTGACTGTCTGCAATACGTTGGGTACTGCAGCTGATGTTAAAGCTACTGCAGCCCCGGTAGCAAAAATATCGGTTATTTTAACGCAATTGCGTCTGAAGAATTTTTTTTGACCCGCAACCCAAGAAACACAGGGCAGAGGGGGAGGGACTGGGGGCTAGTAAGAGATGTGATTGGACCAGCCCCAGTGTCAGTATAGAAAACTACCCAATGGGCCGCTGTCTATGCTTTATAGGCCGGTCATTGGCCCATTTTTTAAAACAGTTATACGTTACAACGGCACCAAAGGTTCGCCGGTCCACCATGCATTTGCCTGGTATATCAGATTACCAGTCCACCCCTGGCCTTGATCAAAGCACTGGGACTGACAAATGCACACAGGTGCACAGATCTGCACACATACACTCACACCCACAGAGGACAAAGCATAGTGTCCTCTTGTGTTGTTAATTACCAACTAAAATATACAGTATATCATCATGATTAGCTTTTGTTCACTTGTGTGCACTAGTATGTGTGTGCATGTATGTGTTAATTTGTTTTTATGCATTTTAAATGATCCAATGTGAATGTAGCTTGAAGCTCAGATACTGGGGCCCCTAAAATCAGAACAGCCAGATTTTTTTTACTTCTTTAAGCACAAGGTAGGGGGTGACGTCTTCAGTGAGAGGCACACACACACACACACACAAATGAACTGCTCAGCTGCATCTTACTGTACCCACAGCAGCATGATCCCTCTGTGAAAGAAGGGAGCGTGCGACCACTGCTGTGGCAAGTCGAGGTGCAGAAGGAACAAAGAACTTAGCGAGTCGACTGTGCCTCCACTCCCCCCTCCCCCATCCCGTCTCCGCCCCTAGCATTCCCCCCGTCACAATGTGCGTCATCACAGGAGCCCCCAGAGATGCGCGCACACACACACACACACACACACACACACACACACACACACACACACACACACTGCAGGCGGCAGTCACCCAGCCAAATCACTCATTCACATGCCTAGTCAGCCCATTCAGTGGGATGGTGTGCAGGTAGCCCTTCACATGCAGCACATTCAGAGCAACTGGGTGGAGATAGAGATGGAGAACAAAAGGAGAGGAAAGGTGATAGAAAACTGGCAAATGAAGAACATGAAAACACAAAGGGAGGGGGGGGGGGGAGTAAAGTGGCTCATGTTAATGTACAACAACTTGCTTAAACAGCGGTTGCAAATCCTTTAATGGCATGTTTAAGTGCCTAGAAGGTTGGGCTGGCTACATAGGACAATTTATTATGTACTATAAAGTTCAGAAAGCTGTAGCGATCTTATAGCACCTGTGATGCTACATTAAACAAAATCCTTCAATTTATCTGGATTTATCCATTTAGCTGGACTCATTTTTAAACAAAGAATAATTCGTTATCACTCTTTGACCTTAGGTTCACTAGATGTTCATCACTATCACAGAAGGGAATTTCTCTATGTTTTTTTTTTTTAATGAACATACGAACAAAGAATTTTGTAATTTCAACAAGAATGTGCACACATACAAGCACGTATTAACGGATAGCTAACGGATCAGCACTACAGGGATCAAGAAATTGTTCTCCTAATCTTGGAAAAATAAATATAGAAAAAACATTTGTTATTTCTAAAATGTAAGCCTGGTAATAAGTTGTTAGTTAAGTTTCTCTCTTTTTTAATTCTGTACTGCATGGCAGACGTATCTCTAGCCCCTTTAATGGTGGACAGAGAATAAAGAGGAAGTTGAGAAGAGGCAGGCACAAGACAAAAAACAGTCCCCTTCAAAGCTGTTTTAAAGTTTGGGTTAGTCTTGAGTTAGTGTAATTGTGCAAAGCAAAACTCAAATGACAAAGCGGGACCTGCTGATTGTTAAATATGCCGTAAACACCCGTGTGTGCATGTACCCCTCTGGAGTCACTGTAAACATGTCAGAGCAATGAGTTACTATATTCTGAGGGGCATCAGAAGGAGGGGGGGGGGGCATGTCACACATGTCACGCATACACACATACACAAGTGTCAATTTCACCCCCACACCCCTCCACACACACACACTGGCAGTTTTTCCAAAGTCTCCATTGAATGTTTAGTGTTACACCAACCCAAATAAAGACAAATGGATTTATTTCATTTTCCAGAGGAGACTGTGGCTTGCTTCTTTACGAGCCAATGTATGAAATGTATATTGTGAGTGAGGCCTGTGTGAGGAGAGCTACTGGGGGTGCCTGCCAGAGTGAAGCCCAGTCTTCCAGCCTAGGATTGATGGCTGGCCCCAGGCCTTGAAGCTCCCAGTGGTGACAGGAGCAATAGGTTCATCACAAATCAGCAAACTGTATATTAAATTGCTAATATATTAAACTGCTTTATATGGAACTCGGCAGGAGTGATTGCAGGAGTTCAATGTCCTTATAAACTGCATCCTTCTGCAAAGCAGATGAGAGCAGGCTCAGGGACCACAAAGGACATTGCAGCCTAAAGAAAAACCTTGTCTGGCAACAAGAGTGGAACTGCAAAACTTATGTATGATTCAAAATATTTCTTTAGTGCTTAGCATGGCAATCCACTTTATGAATCTTTCTAATTCTCATCATTCATAATTGAGTAAATTCGTCTTAAATCCAAATTTACTTGCCCACAGATAATTGTTCCTGAGACTTACGTATCAATGGATTTAGATGCATGCACACAACTGCTCAGGTAGTTATGTGCACGCATTGAAGTTTAAAAGAAGAAACCAAGTGTCACTAGTCATGGTTATTTAGACTGTGCTGTTTTTCTTTGCCTGATATCCACTCCTGCCTGCAGCTTTTAAGTTCACTTCCACTGTGTGACAGGTTTCTTTCAACTACACTGTTCCCTCACAAAGTTTTCATTTCTGTAGGCAAACATAAAAAGGTGTACGGCTTTGTTAAAACACAAAAAATTTAATAAAAAAGAAATAAATAAAAAAGAACTCTCTAGAACTCTATATGATTAAAGACGAACATGAATCAACCTCACACCGGTCTTCCTCAGGGTCAGGGTCTGGGATGTATCAGGTGAATCAAAGGTAGAGCCGGATAGTTTAGCAAATTCTTACACGTCTGACGCCTATGTTTTAATGACTGATTTGCATGTGTGTGACTGTTTAACCTTGAGGTAGATCATTTAAGCTGTGGTTCCTCTATTCTTTTTCCAACATTTATAAACTACAGGAAATCATTTTCTTGCTGTTTGTTTTGTTATTCTCTACTCTATAGACCAGATGTGTTTCTGTTTATGGTGCAGAACAACTACTTTCACAACATCACAGCAGGAATGCAATTAAGAAAGCACTACTGACTCGCCCATATTCAGTGGCTGCTCACTTAAATGCATTCAGCCATTCTTTTGTTTTACATCTTTTTTAGTGTTAGAATGGTCCACATTGAGTCTATTTTGTTCAAAAACTGTTGCTGTTTAAGTTTGTTTTTTTTGTTTTTTACAGCATAGACTTAGTCTTTTCCACTACATTTTAATTTATTTTTGTTAGGAAACCAGAATGCACATTATGAAATTATTTTGGAAATTGTGCCATATATCCATAACTGCTATTCATGAGAGCTTGTGATATTTTTTGTGCACTTTGGTAACTTCCTAAATACAAACAAACCAATGAGCATGTGCATAATAAGCACCATGATTTGCCAGGATGCATCCAGTGGCTCGGGCAGTTCACTGTCACTGACAGTGTACCTTCCCTTTGTTATTTTGAAGCATTCAACAGCATGCAAGGGATCCATTCATCCATCCATCAAAGATTAGACAGTAATTATGGTTCTTTATTTCTCTTTCAACCCACAAACCCCCTTCTTCCACCTCAGTGAGCTGGTTCATGTTCAGAATGGTTCATGTTAATCAGTTACTCATTAATCCAAATGAAGTTAAGTGTCAGTCACAATGTGAATGGTTTGTTCCAGCATTAATAAACATGACTTCCCACATTCACACGGCTAATCATTAACTCAGTGACTGAGAAACATACACAAACAACACGTAAGCACACACACACACACACACACACACACACACACACACACACACACACAGTACAGCACTTGATGTTGACCTCGGTGTTGAAGGTCACAATACTTGGTGGCTGACTTAATGACCACTAGATTGCCTATCAGATACGAGGACATCACACTGAGTCAAAGACTAAATATTAACTTGGCCGAATTGACACTCACTACCAATCATCCCTGTCTCAAAACTATTTACACTTTGCTAAACCCCTCCCCTGAACAGCGATTACAGGCCTGTCAAGGTTGTGGTTTCTCCACATGCCTTAGCGGTGTGCATGAGGCTGGGGTCTTTTTAAGCCCTTCCAAGACTAAAAACACGAAAGCAAAAGTGTAAGGAATGTATTACAGCGTGTTTATCTTTTTAGGCTTTCTCTTTTAGGCTAATGTTAGCAGCTCTCTCCAGCTCTTTGGGGGGAATGCTAGCCGGTAAATATTCCCAAGTTCACTAAAGTTACCCGAAAAACGTTCCTCAAACACACTGGTTAGTCCTCAACCAAAGAGCCATTTCTCTTGTAATAATAAAAGTAAAGACACGGTTTGAAAACACGAACAATGGTATAATTTAACCAGCCAAACAGGATTATGTTGTGGATCATCAGTTGTTGTGAATGCTGACTGTTTGCCATGGACATGCAGCATTATGTATATAGCCAAGAAGTGTTTATAGGAAAAGATCCCTTTTACAAGATCCTTGTTTCAAAACGAGTCAGCTGGAAACGTTAAAAGCTTAAGGTGAAGTTTTCAACCAACTCAGGGAGCTGACTTTTGTCTCTTTAGCCGTCCAAATTCATGGTTGCTTGCTAGAGATGAGTAAATAAGTGGGGAAGGGCTTAGCAAACAGTCACATCACAGAAAAGTTACAAAACTACAAAGAATACGTGTACTGTACATTAATATCCTGGTCAACTTTTATCTGTTGGGAGTTTTTCCCTTCACCACCCCTCTATGGATTGGTTATGCATATTAATGACCAAAGCACTTGCCTGCTATGACTCAGTCACTGATTTCTCCTGCATGGACAAAACCAAAAAGCATTTTTCTATTTTTCTGTTTAATTCTTTCCCTATAATTCACTCTCTCTGCCTCTTCTTCACATTTCTCATCTCCCATAACCATTTTGGTCCCACTCCAATTTCTCACTTTCCTCTGCTCTCTGTCTCCCACGTTGTTTCCTTCATCCATTCAGCCTCTATCTGTCTCTGAGTCTCAGTATCAATCTCCATCTATGTCTCTCTGTTTAGAAATAATGTGAGGAGTCCTTCCTGATCAACAAACTTTCTCTTCCTCCCCCTTCCCCCTCTTCCCCTCATTATTTCTCTATGCACAAGATTAAACTCCCACATGCGAGGCAAGGAGGAGGTAGCAGAGGTAGATCAGAGAGGGGAAAAGGAAAGAAGAGGATGAAGGATGGGAGAATGAAGCAGCAGAAGGCTGAGAGAACAAGGGTTTAGCTACAGTATGTTAATCGGAAGCTGTCAGCTACAATCTACATCATGATGCATCATCCAGGTTTCTTTGCCCAGTGCTATCTTTGCTCTTCACTTCGCCAAACCCATTCTCGTCTTTGTTTTCCAAACTCTTGTTTGTCTCATTTGACCTCATTCTTGTTTCCCCTTTTCCTCAGCATCCTCCTCCTTTCTATTTTTCCACCTCTTTTCCCTGTGTGCTTACTTCTTTTATCTCCCACCTTCTCCCTCCTCTTTCATTCTACATCTCTCTGCTCTCTGATCCTCCTCAAAAGGCCGTGAAGTCAAACCCTTTAATGGGCGTGTTGGAAGTGTGTTGCGAGCTTCCCCTGAGCAAGAGCCCTGCTGATATCACAGTGTTCTGTGAAGCTCTCTCTATGAGACAGAGCCATTTCATAAGCACAGTGCCAAACATGCCTGCCCTTCTGCCCAGTTGCTTAAATGAGCTGGGGCTTAAGTGGTGCCAAGGTGCACCTCAAGTGGAATGGGCCTGGTGAGGCTAAGCTGAGAATAGGTATGCAGCAAGTGACGACTGGGCAGAGCGGCTCATGTCCAAATGGGCTGAGCATGATTTTTTTTTTAGTGTTAGTGTATCCAGAGGTTTTACCAAAATACTGCAATGGACATTGATCACTTGAAATGGCAATTGATGAAAGGTTTACTGGAAAGTCACAAAAAAGAAATAATTTAGCCTCCAAGCAATATTGAATGATGATCCACTGTTTAATAGACACTTCAGTGGACTAATTCAAGGTTTATCAGAGTCGACCAAGCCAAGCAGATGGTACAGAACCAGCGCCAGACTCAAAGAGGGACAGAGAGTTTCTAATTTCCAGTCTTCTCCCCATCACCACTCCAGGCTTGATAACACTAAGAGAGGATACTGGCTGATAATTGCAGCTGATGCCCTCAGCTCCCTTTGAGGAAAGCCCTGGGGCTTCATGCAGATGTGCTAGGGTGATATGGGCTATAATGGGGCCTGGATTCCTCACACTCCGCAACAAAAAGTGCATCAGTCAGGAAAAGAAGGTTGGGAAGATTAACAGCAAGCCCTGACGTGAAGGAAGGCCACCATATGAGTGCACAACTGGATGGAAAGGAGAACCGTAAAACTGTCAGAGAGAGAAACATATACATTGTTGGTGTTCCCTTGTGTAGGCATGGACTCTTGCTGCTCAAAAAAGGAAATGTTTGTGTGACAGGACCAGCCTTTACATGGTAAGCATACGCAGAAGATTTGCAAATGTGAATCTGAGTTGCCTGTTTGTATACCAGTGACATTTTAAAGTTATCTACAAATATGAAAGTGGAGTGGCAGCTGCCATGTATGTCGCGCTTGCCTCGGTTCAGGTAAGGGCTGCATCATTTGTTTTCATTGGCAACCGGAGGCATTCAGTTAATGTTGTGGCCTGTTAGTAGCTTGAGCAGGCATTAAGTTTGGCAGTAATCAAAGCCCCTAGACCTAACAACAAAATATTTTATCACTAATACCTGTGTCATGATACATAGAAACACTGTGGCATCTTTTGTAAAAAAACCCCAACAAACTATGGTTGTTGCTCATGATTTATATGACTTTAACTGGAACCCTGCACTTTTCCATTTGTAATTTGCAAAAGCATCTGCTTTTCCCCCGCGACCCTGTAAGCAGGATAAGCGGTTGACCATGGATGGATGGATGGACCTCTGCTTTTCCTAGTTTTATATTTTAGATATCTATCTTAGCTTATACAGTATTAGCCCAGGTAAAGGTTTAGGCAGATGTACAGCATAGTGTAGGGGAAGTTTTACTCACATGTCCTCAGGTGTCCAATGTAGGAGGACCTTCACCTTGCCAGAGCCCTCTTTCCTTTTGGCTAGCACCTGTGCAAAGACAATCAAGCAAAAAAAATAAGCTGAGCTATAAAAGACACCAAAATGCTATGAGCCTAAGAAAATGACTACGCCTGTCTTTTTGATGTAATTTCACTCAGTCAGTCGGGCATTCTGTAGGCATTTGGCATATGCATAGCCAAGTCACCTGACATAGGCATATCATTTAACCTACATATTATGGTTCATTTCAAATTTCAAGACAGTTTGTTATTTTAAAGAGATTAGCATAAATGTGTTGGGTTTGGCTTCTATTGCAGCATCCTCTCATGTCTGGCTTCAAAGACATGGCCCCATCCTGGCCCCGTCTCTGTAACGAATAATGAGGCTACATGCTTCAAACATCTCACCAAGTGATACAGTGGCTGATTGTACTGTTAATAATGCATGCAAGAGCTCAGTTAGATTTCTGTTTTCAATGGGATTTATCCCACATTCCCCTACAACACACTGTAAATCCAAGGAATTTAAATCCAGACCAAAGTTAGATATGTCCTCCTACCTTTGGACTTAACAGAGGAGTGCTTATTGCAGCTGACAATATTGATTGCCAAGAAGATAGACACACTGAGCAGTTATCACCATAAACAAATCACCGTTCTTGTTGTGGATTATGTTAGCATAAAATGGAGACTAGCACACACTTTCAAATGTTTGCTGCAGTAACATGGAAATTTGTGTTCATTTTATCCATGTTTTGTTACCTGGTTTAACTACTCAAGACTAAATCTGCCAACATAACCTCAAACTTCAAGGGCTTCCTTCTTGTAAAAATACAGTTGAGACAATATCAAATGCATACATAACATTTCATCTATCACGCTGTGTTGGTTTATAGTAAAACTGGTCTGGAATTCACACAAATATTGTCTGTAGGGAAAAGAAAAGCTAGAAAAATAACCAGGAGTGTCAAAAATAGCCATAGTTATAACCTCTTGCGTCAATTGGCTCTTTTTTGTTAGGAATGTCTATTTTTAGGATGGGGAATGAGCTCACATGTGAAGAACTTCCCTAACGCACACGAATATCTGAAATTATTTTTGTGACTCTAGGGACTGGCTTTGGCATTGATGGAAACTGGTTTGAGGACAAGAAGGAGGAGGCTCCACTGAGACAGGAGACACAGAGACCTAGAATCACTCTTACAGCTTTTCTTGACCTCACACTTTAAGCCAAAACATGTATTCATTTCTAGGCTATCTCAATGATCTGATAATTTTGCATTTACGTTTATGCTCAGATCCATGTTTTTGTTTTCGCTCTACAAAAAAACCCAAACATGTTATTTCTCCTTCCATACATTCTTTATGCTTATGTTCAAAAATACCCTGCACCCATTTTGCTGTGAATTCAGGAGAGGCAAGAAGAGGTGTGCAAATGTATATTTATAATTTGATAAGCTTCCAGGTAGAGAGCTGTCTGGCAGAAGTTTTGAGGAAAGCAAACGGGACACAAAACACGTTTACTTTCAGTTTGATTAACTTTCTAGAAGAAATATTTAGGCTTGGTTAGATACGAATTTTGTTGTTTCTGGCTTGGTGCCTTCATATTTGTCTGTGAGAAGCTTTGCAAATAGCAGCCAAGTTGGCAAATCAACCATGTTGTTGCCTCTTGTTTGTAATACAGTGTTCAGGCGTAAAAGTCCAGAGTGGAAAAGAGAAGAAGGCAGAGCAAAGCTGTAGTAACAGCATGAATGATGAAACAGAAAAATGACTTCAGCATCTCACACTTTAACATAAATACTGTTGATGTGAAATCTAAACCACATGACCTATAAAAACAAATATGCATACTAAAGTCTGTCTTTGTAGGCAAAAAAATCCCTGTCAGTGAATCACAGAAAGACTGGAATAGAGTGATATATGGAGTGGACGTTGTAACGGCATCCTGCAGAGATGGTGCTCTGCGACACAGAACATGACCTTAGGTAGGTATGATGTCATTTGTAAAAGTATGATATTGTCAGTGGTGCAAAAGGTACTCAGATCTTTTACTAAAGTAACAGTAGTAGTTTTTTACAAGTAAAAGTCCTGCATTCAAAGTTTCAAAAGTAAAAGTATGAAAGTATTTGCATCAAAATTTACTTAAAGTACCAAAATCAATACTTATTATGAAAGAATGCCCGTTTCAGAATAATGTGTATTATAATACTGAATTATAACTATTGATGCATTAACGTGAACATCGCTTTAGTGCAGCTGGAAAAAGTGGGGCTCATTTTAACTACTTTATACACAATATCTTAACTTAACCTATAATAACACATCCTAGCATTAGCCTAAATCCTGTACTGGCTGCAATGGGCCCTACGATAAGTGTCTCAAGCATTGCGCCAAGACTCAGTACATGAGCAGCTGCTTTACTACCCTTTCAGTTAAAAATGCATAGCTGTTAACCTGTATCCCCAGGCTCCTCACAGTACAAGGTTAATAATCTCAAGCCTAGGCTACACTTGAAGAGGCCATGACGATGTATGTAAAGGCTGAAGACAAAGACGTGGGCTTGTGTTTAAGCAGCATGAAGTGATTTGTGAGCTGAGCGATTTGATGATGGAAGTTGGTGCTTTAAGGGATAGATCTTAATCCTCTATAGACCCAAGAGAGGGAGGGAGGTTAGGGAGGGAGGAAATAGGGAGTGAACTGTGGATATTAGTGTGGATCCAAAACAAGGCAGTGAAAACTGCAAGACCAAAGCCGGGGGAGGGCAGGCCTGCTAAAACTGGGTGCCTGTCTAGTGTCACGGGGTCAATCTGCAGATGACGCAGATTGGCGCAATAACAAAAATATCCCATCATAAACATGACTGAGTTGCTTTGGCGTGTCAGCAGGCCGACTGGCCAAACGCCACAGAACCCCCACAGCTCTGCTCCATCTCTCCAGGCCTGGGAGAGTCCACTGGGGCCTGGGGTCTGACGCAGCGCCACAGTCCTTCTTCACCACAATCCTCCGGAGGTTAGAGAGAAGGAGAATGTATGCCCAACAGGCCAGATCTCTTTCCGATTCCATGACCCTAACCTTCACTTAACCCCCTTTCCCTTGTTTTTTCTCCCAAAGTCTGTTTCTCTCCATTTGTTACTCTCCCTCCCCTGGCTGGCTCGTCCTCCTTCTCAGTCTGTGTCCAAATATGCGGTTACCTCTTTTAACCTCTTCCCAAGCTTTATCTTCACTCACCCCCCCAGCTTTCTTTTAAAATTCTTGGCTGCTGGTGAGCAGTTGAGGTTTGTAAGTGCAGAGCAGAACAGAGTTGAAAGGGACTGAGCTAGGAGGAGGACAACACTGTAGTGAGGATAGCACTGATGTCAACACTGTAATTACACTTTAACATGAACAGAAGCATTAACAGTGAGTTTGCCTGAAAAGGCACATTTTCAGAAATGTTCAAATGATTGCCTGCAGAAATTGATTTAATGATAAAGAGAAGCATGATATGGCTTCACGGCTATCTGTTTGCATGGTGACAATGTACATTAATGCATCAGAGACACCTCTGCAGGTCTATCACACACTTACAACATATGTGTCCCATTGTGGTCACTCTAGGTTATTTTGTATACATTTGCCATATTGAGATATAAATTGATGTCAGAAAAGATGTCCATTCATCCTGCTGGGCAATGTTGCTGGTGGAAAGTCCGACTATGTTTTGAACGGATAGAGGTGGGGTGGAGAGGGTGGCAGAGTGGTGGGGGAAGGGGTTTACGGTAGTAATCTTTACTCATTACCATTGACGGCAACATTGCCCAGCACCATTGCTCTAAAAGTTGCTCCGTGTATCATCAGCTTTAGGGAAGCTAGATCTCTAGATCTCTAAATCTCGTAAACAATAATTGTTCCTGCTAAGTTGGCCATGCTACAATAGCACAGCACATTAAATGTGAAATTTATATACGAGTTAACCCATGGATGGAAAATGTTCTCTACAGAGTGCTTGAAACAGATAATGGAGACCAAATTTCTGCCCTGAAGGTACCCACTGTAAACAGAATCACTGCCACTAACTAAAAAGTACATTTCCATATAAATATAATGACATCCTGTGTTGAGAAACAAGTGAGTTAAATCGTGTGTGTTTGTAGATATACAGTTGTGAAAGAAGGGGAAATTCAGTGACAGATGATGACCCTTTTTTTCCACCATCATGCATTTATGGGTCTTGAACAGGAGACAAGAGTGCTCCCTAGTGGAATTGCAAAGGAACACCCCTTCACATCCAAATATCATAACATTACAGTTATCCACTCTTTGAAGCCATTGTCAGTGAGAGACAGAATCTTTGACTGGAAAAATAGTTTTTCATGCGAGTGTTCATATGTGACCTTAATAGTAAGGTGCAAAGGTATTTTAGTGCTCATTAATAAAGTATCATGCACTGGGCATGCATGCACTGATTCAGAGAAAAACAACATCAAGCCTCATGGCGATTCACAAGGTTCACTTCAAGTGCACAGAGAAAAAATCTGCAGTGATCACAGGCTGATTTTCAAATAGTGATTCTTTCATGCCCCCTGTTGTCTAAAAAGAAAATTACATTTGGACAAATGTGAAAACAACCATGCAGGTTAAATGACAAGGCAGATTGTCTCTTTTTCTATACATAAGACAAATGATGATTTAAAGAGGTGGTATTATACTCATTTCCAGGTTCAAAATCTTAATTAGGGGTTGTACCAGAACAGGTTTACAAAAAACACCATATTTTTCCCCTCATACTGCACATTGCTGCAGCTCCACTTTTCACCCTATGTGTTTGTTCGCTCCGCTCTTGAGCTACAGAGTGATGCATCCTACTTGTACATTGCGTTGCTGGGAGTTGCACATGCGCAGTTCCCAAGTAAGGACTACTAGCCAATCAGAAGCAGAGAAGAGCGGAAACAAGGTAGTGTGATCCAAATCAAAGCCGCTTCAGACTGCGACCGTAACCTAGCAGATACTATGGTAACTTATTACCAGTCCACAACATCATTGTTCCACATCTTACCATCAGGACTAAACGTTGAACTGTTGCCGGTGTTCTGACGATCAATGCTGCCTTGCCGAAAAATGCTTCCATAGCGCAAATCGATTGACTCCACTCTACTCGGGCCTGCTCCGTTTTCCATTGCAGGTAGTACCCAGAGATAGTACGTAGCTGGTCGTCATAGCGACGCCGCATACAACTGCCGCGATGTAATGTTCAATGCGACACACACACCAGCGATCCACACAGCTTTCTCTTTTTTAAGTTAAAATGTTTCAACATTCCTCAGAATGTAAAGACAGATAAGCGGTATGAAACCTTCCAGCTGTGTTTTCCTCTGCCGTTGTTGCTGCAGCTGTCTGTGTTACGGTGTGAGCAGAGGGCTCTGTGAGCGGGCGGCTGGCCGGCCTCACACGCTCCTCCCGTGGGTTGGCACAGGCTTCCCCCGCAGCCACTTGCGGAGCTTCTCAACTCCGACAATATTCAAGCACATTTTTGTTCCGCCATTACTTCTCGTAAAACTGTCAATATTCGAAATCTACACAGCTGATTTCTCCTCAGAAGTGGATTTAGTGATGAAATTACATATGAAAACTGTAAAATAAACTTTCTGTTGCTGGCCTCTGTCTGGTGCACGCAATGATGATGCAGTGAATAGTGACGATTCTCTCTGACCAATCAGCAGTCTGTCGTGTTTTCACGTCACATTTTAGTATCACCTCAGCTCGCTTGAAACCTTTGATACGAAAAAAAGTACCTGGAAGCAGGTACAGGTGCGACATTTCTACAATGGAAAACCAAACAAAGGTGAGTCGAGCTAAAGGGCCTCCGCTCAGACTAGCTTCGTTTGAGGGCGTGCCTGACCCACTAGCTGCTTGGCAAGTTTTATGATGCGTTTTCATTGCGACCTCACAAATAAAAGGAAGTGAAGGACTGGGCTACAAACGAGCTGTTTTCAAGCGGTTCAGAGCAGTGTTTTCTGTGGGAGATGGGAACTCCCTTTGGGCTGGACTTTGGGCTTTTTCACTTTGAAAACCTGTTACATGCACAAAAAAAGATATATAACTCAATAAAGGAGAGGGTTTTCCCTCTCCTTTATTGAGTTATATATCTTAAGCATAATACCACCTCTTTTATATATCTAAGCATAATACCACCTCTTTAAACAAAACAAGTACTAGCAATAACCTTTATTTATTTTCAACAATGTCTCAATAGAGATCTGGTGATACTTTGTGTTGTTTCCTGATCAGTGTTCTGTCTGTGTTTATGGGACACTGGGATAATACTACTGCATTTTGCCTATAACCCATTGAACTTTCAATATACAGATGCAGAGGTTAAATTGGTTCATGAAATAAGTCATTTCCTCACAATGAATGCAGTATCCTTACAATATCAGGATAATTTGAGTGTGACTGTGGTTATATTCAGTTTCCATAGTACAGCTTCACCTTTAACATGCACAGCTACATTGCTGCTGATTAAAGACAGGTAAACAATATGAATAATTATTTCCCAACATTTTGCATAGTCGACCATAAAGCATCTGATAACTTCTCCACAGAAAGAGAATGCATCCTTCAACCCTTCTCTCTGAATCCCCTTAGCAACTCATTTTGTTTAAACCCCTTAAAACAGAACAGGCAGCCAGAGGAAAACACAACAAAACAAAAGTAGTGAAGCCTCACACGACTCACCGTGCTGTGAAAGACCACACTGTGGCCATTGCCCACACTTTCAATGTGGGTGGCGAGGTTGAGGCAGATGGCCCTGTGGCGAATTGCATCCATAGTTTGGGCATCGAAGAAGTCGTGGGGCCTCGCTGGAGGGGGAGAAGGACAGACTCATATGAGAGCAGAGTCAAACAACAACAGGGTTCCAACTGTGACTTATTCAAGTTTTTCTGTAACAAGCCACAACTACATCATGAAAAATGCTGTTCTTTGCGATTTTTTAACATTGCTTTGCAAATCTGAATATTTGAAACAGAGGTCTTGCAAGATCTCACACCGTGTCTTTATTTAGGCTGAACAAACCAAACTAGCAGTAATGCGATCATTTACTATAACCTCAAACTCGCATCACATTTAGAGGTTGTTAATAGTATTTCCTTTTTAGAATGTTTTAAACTGACCCATCTAGGTGAGACCACTGGATCTCACTGGCACTCAGTGGGATAATATAAGACTCTTGACCAGAGGACTTAAGTGTAGGGCTGCAGCTAATGATGATTTTAGTATTCAAAGCTTCGACAGATTATTTCATCAATTCATTGTTTAAGAACTACTTTTGCTTGGCGGCGGCGCCCCCCCCGGTAATGGGATCAGCTGTGTTAACTCATGACTGTGACGTTACAACCGAAACTCACAGCCCAACCAGGCGGAGAACAACAAACGCATGTGTGTACATTTACATCTGAGGATTGCGGCTTACTTTTGATAGCCTGCAACTCAACAATCAATCATGATTTCAGTTAAATGCTAAAGTTGCTCTTACTGTTACCTTGTCTGTGGTACACTCCGTGGACTTGATGATAGAGCGGGTGCTTTATGATCAGATGCCGTCGTGCTGTTGCATTAGACCACATACGTTTTTTTTACGGTGGGACTGTAACATTACAGAGTTGTTGTTTTCTTTTAGCTTGAAATAATCCCATGCTTTGGTTAACTCATAATTTGCGTGAATTAATCGATTTTAAATCGATTAATCGCATCAGCCCTACTTAAGTGTAATAGAAATGTGCAAACTTACCATTGTTTGTCATTTATTCCATAATCTATATCCATTAGTTTATTTTCTGAGCTTTGCATAGAACTTGTCATTGTCAAATGTCTATTGACATTTAGGATGTTAACAACTTAACTTACTTTTTGTATTAGAGATCATTTTAAAGTCTGAAACAAATGCATCTTTAAAAACAGGGTAATTAAAATCAGTTTGAATTGTAGGTGTTAGACTGTTTTAGCCTGAGAAAAACCTCTGCCTTTAGATGGATAAATGATATTCCAAACATCAGCCTCATACCCGTTGACCAGCATGTTACTTTGCAGCACAAGCAGCGCATGCAACTGTTGCAACTTGCAACAAAAGATAATAATCAGGAAGTGGTTAATCCAAGAATATTAAACCCAAGACAGTCTTTGGTTTACAGAAAACGCACTACAGTTTAAATAACTTGCAGATCTTTATGTATTCCTTCATACATTTTGATACTTTTTTTTGCTGAGGTTGTAATATGGAGCGGCAAGCCAAGATTGTTCTCTAACCGGTAGCTGAAGGTCAAATCAAAGACACTTGGACAGTCATCTGAAAAACAAAGAAAGATCCTTCTCTGAACATATACATTTTGTTATTGTTTGCCTTCTGTGTTTTATTTTCTGGCAACATGTCTCATGAATGAAATGCTGTCCTGGAATGCACTACTACGAAGTTCTCAAACGAGTCGCTATTCCAGGCTGGATTAATATGCACCAGTGCAAGTTATAAGCCAGTTTAAATCATTGCCTCACTTTACACATATTTATAAATCAGTACACTGGACTGTCCGATTTCTAAGACAAGCAGAGGTGTACAAGTAGAAAAAAAAAAAAGGGAGTTTGTATAATGCAGACACGGGCAATCTGAGGCAAAACCAGGGAGCAAATAATCAGTATCAACCTGAGCACAGCTGAGAGAATCTTTGCGAATAGACTAAAAAGTTTTTCCTCTGAAATGCAGAACACTACCACGGGGAGAATCTGGCACAAGCGTATGCACCCGTTTGTGTGCGTGTGGTCCAGCTCAAGCTTCTCCAACAAAGAGATGTGGAAAGGTAAAAGCTGACACCATCAGTTTCAGCGTAACAAACATGGAAGTACCTCAAAAATATGTTCAGCTTGTAATTCTTACCAACAAGGAAAAGAGGGAAATCACAATGAGAAACATTTACAAATAGTTTGTGTGCCTGTTAGGTACGTACGTAGGGAGCACCTGCGTTTGTTCTTGAGTTTCTTCCTCTTGTTGAGTCCAGCCTTGGAGGGTGACTCCTCTTTAAGTTTGGCCTGGCTGGACATTTTGGAGGAGCTCTGCTGGCTGAAGTGGCTGGGGACATGGCGAGCTAACCCTCCTTGGGAAGCAAAGCTGGCGTTGCAGCCACCAACTACACACTGCAGTGGAGCACAAACACGCAGCACATTTGGTATATTTGCCACTTAACATGACAAAATACTAACACATTTTATTTTAGTTAATGACATGGCACCGAGTAGGTAACTGAGGTATGCTTAGATGACACAGACACTCAAACATACAAGCAACTGCCCCCTGCAACCACTTCTATATTAGTAAAACAACTAAGATGATGGCTCAGTCGAAATGTTGATACTAACAAACAAAATATTATCACATGGCAAAGTTCACTGATAATCAGGAGAAACGGCTGCAGATGTACACTCTCTCTGAGTTAATGTTATTACCTTGAAGGGCTTATCTCCACTGTGCGTTAACATGTGTCTCTGGAGCCAACTTTGACTGGTGGATGGTGTGTTGTACACCTTACAACCCTTCCATAGACACACAAACACCTGAGGGACAAAGACACACAGACATGAAGAGGGGAGAAGGAGTTTACTTATAGGCATTGAAAAACAGATAAATAAAAAGACAATGCGAGGGCAGAAAAGCAAAAGAAAAGGGTTTATAATATTCATGTTTATCACATTTTTGTAAATAAGGTATATTCTGAGTGCACATTGTAATTTAATGATGCTGCCAACTGGGTGGCACACAATATGAAGCAATAAAACCTAAAGGCCCGTTTTCTAACTTACTGTACACCTCTAGTGGTGTCTAGCCATTCAGAAAGTTTTTGTTTTGAGTTTTCCAGGGTTTAAGATACCTGGCTCCAAGGTTTCCATCCCAATGACTCCCATGCCTCCATCCCAATAAAAAGAAGGTTGGTGTTATTTTGTTTGTGGTGCAAATGATAAATTATATTTCTAAAAGCTTGACAACAACATCTCTTTCCAAAAACAGTGTCCCAGTTACTCCAGAGAATCCACAGAACGCAGTGGGAACAGTTTGAAAAGGGACTATTTCTTCGGCACAAAGTAGCTTCACTGAAAACTACAGCAATTTGACCCAACACTTTAATATTCAATGCAGTCCGAATTTTGCACATTGTTCAACTCTGTCTTGGTTTTCTGGAATGTCCATGTTCAGCTACAGTAAAAAGGGACACTATCTTGCTTAGCTACCTGTCAGACATAATAATGAAGATCCAAGGTTTAAAGTCTACCAACCCCTCCTCTCTGCCCATCAACATGAATGCCCCTGATATGCTCTGCCAGATCAGGACTGGAGTTGAAGCACTCCGGACAGAGGTCCCAGCAGCAGGGGTAAGCCACTGTCTTAGCCCCAGAGGAGCTGGCACTGCTCTGTCCATTCATCATAGCAGGAGTGGAGCGCCCACTGGACACTGTGCTCTCCAACTCCATCAGGGTACTGCTGATACTGAGAGAAGGGAGAGGGTGGGATGGGTAGAGAGGCAGCAAGGAGAAAGAATATACAGTCCCACTGTTATAAAACACATCAAGGCCATCAAGAATCTCTTCATAACTTGGATTTGCACAGCCGTGAAGAACAGGTGCAGATATTTCTAGCCACATTAAATAGTCACTATGTGTGAAAGCCTTCAGGCTGCAATTGATTTTCCATGCATGCCACTTTCATTACTCATGCCAAATCAATTATATAGTTGTATTCAATACTCCTAGGACTATGTTGTTAATTTGCTGTGCTGTCAATATCACCTAAAGGAGTTATAGGCAATACTTTACTTGGATGTTAGACCTTCACTGTGCATAATGATGTAGGTGCAGAGTTTGAAACTAGAATGTCCTTTTCTCCCCTTCATCTGCTGAAGATGGAAAGTTTATCTGTGGTTACCTTCAGTCTGAGTTGAATGGCTGCATCTACTGTACAATGATGATTTTGTGACATGACTACATGGGAAGCCAATATGAAACTTAAAAAAATGTAATGGGGAAATTTGAAACCTCCACCACACATATGCTGAAAATACTAGCTTGTCAGTGAAGTAGGACATATCTTGCATCCAGTAGTGAAACTCATCTTTAATGTAAGTTAGTATATGAAAACGTGACATGTTAGAATTAAAATGAATAAGGGTTGTGTGTTGAGTGTATTCTTGGTTGGTTACGTTAGGTTGATAACATAAACGTAAAGCTACCTACAAAAAAACTCATTAATTATCTCGTTCACAGATGGGATGGAAGGACTACTACTGTTCGTATAGCTGCTGCAACCAGTTCACACACTGGTCCACAATAACCTGTCAATTCCCCCACCAACCTGTCCTCCGAGTCCATACGGCTCAGCGGTTCACCATCCGAGGACGATATCTCCACACTCGGCCGCCTCTTGTCGCCAAGCTCCCCGCCCCCGCCGCTGGGTTTCTCACCATCTTCAAAAACTGTTTTGCTCTTTTCGCAGTCTATCCCCGGACACCGGCTATCCTCTCCTGACTCCTCCTTCGCTTCTTTCATGTCATTATCGTTTGCAGGTTCGTTCTTACCCTCTCCCGGGCTTTGCTGTGACTCTGGCTTTTGCTCCGGTTCTTCAGGAGCGGCTGTCGCCTCCTGGCTGACCGTTACAGCACAGTCGTCTGTCACCGCCTTGCTCGCGGCCTTGTCTGCCGCGGCAGCGGGCTTCTCTTCGCCGCCCCCCGTGTCCACCTCTTCCATTTTCGGTTCTACACTGGTGCGTCGTTCCTCTGTTTCCGGTTCGTTAAGGCCCTTTTCTTTCTCCTCGCCGGATCCCTCGTTTGTCTCTGGGGGCAGTACATCGTTCTCAACACTCAGTGCGGGTGTTTCTTCTGTAGTCGCAGCAGCCATTTCAGCGGCACACGTACCGTGGGTACTTTCGGTATTAAAATTTAACCGTGGCACCGTCAAACGCTCCACTGCAGAAGAAGGGCTGGGTCAAATCACACTACCTGTGCTCTGATTGGCCAGAGGCGGCACGAGGAGGATAAACTCTGACGTTGGCATTTAAACTTTCCATGTGTTTCCGTGATCACACAGCTTCTTTCAGAGCTCTTTAAAGGGCTCTAGCTTCTTTTAAATAGGGGAGTTTGTGTTTACCAACGCATAAGACCGTCTTCAGGGAACCATGCAATGCATACTAACTTTATTTTAGTTTTAGTGTGTTTAGGTCATGGTCAGTATACTATTGTGTCTCAGTTATAAGCCATCTATAGGAACCTTTAGGTTGCGAGTTTGTGAAAAATCGCTGTTGTCCATCCTCAAATGTAGTTCATCATGGTAAGCAATGTAATGGGCAACTTACCTTCTGCAAAGTGTCTGGACCTTCAATTTATTTATATATCTAAAATTTAAATTAAAAAAAAGATCTTATTAATACATATAATTCTAGACTTGATTGTTTATAAAATGAAAGTGTTAAATCCACACCCACTTATTAATAGAACAACCAATATTGATAAATGGATTATTGCCAAACAGAAACCAGCCACCACCTGGCAACCTAAAAGTTGCTCTTGTAATGGCTTATAACTGATTTATAAAGCATTAGCAACCACGACTACCACTGGCCTGGTTCTCCAAACTTCATGTCAGTAGGGGCCCCAACAGCAATTTCTTGCTCAGGAGCCCCAAAGAGGTTAATCCAGCTCAATCTAACACAACAGGAATATTCAAAACATTCAGGAACTTGTCAAATGATATGTTGTATCAATTTTCTTTTTATCTCACAGAAACTGGAGCCATCCTTCTTGGGCTCTTTGAATTTGAAATCTGGGAAAGATTAGGTCTCCACTACCATAAGTACAGTGGGCCAATTCACTGCAAGACATCACCAATGTTGCAGCAGCAGAATGACCGCAAGAGGGAGCTATAGTTCTATAATTAACTGGTTGATCATCCCACATTCACCTCTGTACCCTACAAATGACCCAGTTTACATTTGATTATTCCAGACAACGGTGATCATTTTAATAAGATATAGTCCACTATTTAAGCTTAAAACTCTGAATGTTCACAAATGTTTTACGGCCCAAACACAGCCATCTAAGATAAGCTTTTCCATACTGAGTTAATGTTAACATAATTTGATTTTCACAAGTCCACAGTTCTCATGTTGGAGGACAAAGCTGAAGTTGAGCTGATGAATGCAAACAAGTAGGTTTTACATGTATTCACGGTTTCTCCACTACAGATGGCTACAAGGGTGGTAAAGAACACACTGTAACAAATTAAGAACAGCAACATTTATTTAACATGATATAAAACAGATGGAATATGAATATTTGCAAATCCAACTTAGTATGTAACCACATGTTGGATACATCCTCCCATCCTGCTGTACCATGTACATTATATACACAGTAAACCTCTGATAATTACACTTTGTACACGCACAAAAAATAATCCTGGATCCACAAACATTTTATTCTTATTGCTTTTTACATGTGCTAATCTTTTTTTTTTTTTTTTGTTCCAAGACCTCAAACCAACATGTCATAAAATAGAACCAAACTCAGATTTTTATTCCTTCTCTCAGTTTAAATATATCTCTCAGCAATAAAAAAAAAAAAGACAGTATATAGAGGAACTTAAGCGAAAACATTCACATATGTCGGCAACAATGCGACAGGGACTGCAGAAGATCCCATTTTTAAATAATTACAAACCAGAAACAGGAGCAATTACAAATGATCTTTGCAGCAATGAAGTGGCCCCTTCATTTTTATATTATAATGGAGGGATTTACATCCCGTTTGCATCGACAAATGTTCTTTACAATAAATTGATAAATATGAATGGTTAGCTAAAACAAAATGGGTGAATTATGAAAGACTTAAGCCAACCCGAAATTCTGAAAACCTTAAAAACCTTTTTGGACTTGTGAAACATGAATGGACGCCCATGTTCAAACAAGAACCTAATAAAACCATATAAATAACCATAAAAGCTTTGTAAAAACGGAAAATTGAACTGTCTCGCCAGTTTTAGGATAATGTGGCAATAACAGAGAAATGTCACACAGAAAGTGTTGGTGTAAAAGGAGCTTAAGACGTCACAGTGGGCATACAGATGTCAGAGAGAAGACCCCATAGTACGGAGTAGGCAGTTTCACTCTCTGTAGGCCGTGGCCTTGTGCTGATGTCCTCAGGGGCATCTTCATATCTCCACAGCTGTTTTCTTCATGTATAGGTTTTCACTGAGGCCAGAGCCTGTGCTGCAGAAAGAGAAGGTGAGATTTTAGAATGGGGGTAAAGGTCAAATCATGCTCCAAAAATAATACTAGATCTACTATAGTTCTACTATATACTCAGTGGTAACTTTATTAGGTACAACTGCAGTCTAATGCAATCCAATACAACTGCAATAAAGTCTACTTGATGATGACTATAGTAACATGTTCAGTTTTTGTTGACATGGTTGTGGATATGTTAATTAAATTGCTAAATGTTTTAGCATTGAGATCGTAGTTAGTGGTGGTGCTGTGCTAGACGGCATAATATTCAGAGGTCTGCCCCTCTCATGTACTACAACAACACCACTAATTATGACCTCCGTTATAAACATAAAATTACATTTAATTAATTTCTGACAATGTCAACAAAAACTTCACTTTATAAAATTTATGGCTGAGCTGTTGGATTGAAAGTTCAGTAGCTTGTACAGGTGTACCTAAAAATGTTGCCACTAAGTGATTACAGTAATTTGAGTCCTATCACTACACAACATCAAAACTGTAAAATGTGGAAAAAATAGTGACTTGAGTCATTTATAACATTTCATCAGTCCCTTCATTCTGACATGCTTTTTCTCTCCAGAGACAACAATTAAAACACCAAGAATACTTTAGCATTGTGAGTATGGACAAAACAGGTTGATGGAGGCCCTTACTGGTGCTACTACACACACATGAAGTGAGACCCATCAGTGAGTTGAGGGGGTGTGTTAGGAGACTGTGGAAGGGGTGGGGAAGAGGACGACAGGCTTTTCACTGTAATGAAACAGAGCAACACGTTGAACACACACAGACACACACAAAATAACAAAAACAAATTACACCAGCAGCTAAACAGCAAAACAACACAAAAATAATGAATGAAGTCAATGAAATTAATGAAGGAACTACTGAGACTAGAAAAATGCCTTCACGCATACACAATGGAATCAGCTGCAGTTTCATAAACCACAATAAAACATAGTGATCTTCAGAACAGGCTCACACCTGCTTTTGTTTTATTACATGCATTATTTAGATCAAATCCCCCCACCTCCACCCTTTCCTCTCTAGAGATGTACCTGCAACCAGCTTGCTGCGTTTGGAGGCCTCTGCTGCCAGTTCGTAGGAGATATTAATCATCTTCTCTTTCTCCTGTACGGTAACCTCCTCTTCAACCTCCTCCTCTGGGCTTAGAGTCATACCAGGCAGCACATTCTGCATGCTGGAAGCACACACACACACACACACACACACACACACACACACACACACAAAATGGTCTCTGTAATATACAACCTTAATTGTAAACATGGGTTTTTACCACGGAACATACAAGCTATCTCTTTAAAATCAATTCAAGAGGGATGACATTTAGAATAAAATGTCACAGTGGCTAGGAGATAAAAGCAGGGAAATGTCTGCACATCTCAGGCACTGATATGCATGGAAAGAGCAGGCTGGCAGTGTGGCCCCTTTTGAGCCATATATGGTGATTAGAGCCCGACCGATATGGGATTTTTAAGTCCGATGCCGACTTCGATATTTGAGGATTTTAAAATCCAATATGCCGATATATCGGCCAATATTCTCCCCACCCTCTTATTTTTAGAAATGCACACGAGATTATCCCTAATATTTGTTATGTTGACACCATACCAAGATACCACGACATGCAGTGACGTGCAGTATAAAAAGAAACTTTTTTATTGTTAGAAATAGTACTTAGAAATTATTTTGATAAATAAGAGTCAAATGTATAATACTACAGAAAACATTTTACAGATATCTCATTTGTTGTAAATTATGGAGTACTAATTAAATAGTGTATATATTGTGGGGGCCAGCGAAACAGAAACTATAAAAAATACCAATATACTACTACTACTAAATAATAATACCATATATCAAATCTCATGTCACTGCTATAATATTAATAGTAAACAGGACTCTTCTAAAGAAGAAAAATTATATATATTTTTTTGTCATGAAAAATATAGTTATTACCTTACATATAATCTGCCACAATTACTACTTTCTACTATGTAGCATATTCACATCTAGTTTAAAGATAAATAAATTTGTTTGGCTGGAAGCTTTTGAAGTGTTAGACAGGCCTACTTGTTTAGCTCATGTTTATTTACAGGTCCCCTCTCTCTTCCGACATTTTTTTATTATTTATTTATTTATTTGACAGGGACAATGCAAACAAACATAGTGTCAAAACAAAGCTTGTCACTGAAGTGCTACATATAAAGTTTGTAGCTAATACTAATTTTCAACTCCTGTCCCTGGTTGGGCTTTTATACACAATAGAATTTACATACTTCACTACTTCAATTTAAAAAAATAATATAAACATGATATATAAACATGCATATCATATACAACTCTTACCTACTTACATACCGGCTGTAAGACAAGCGGCCCGCAGATATATTTAGAATATGTTAAACAATATAGTTTAACCGCTCATTAATGTTAGTGCTCCTCTACTGATAAACATGGCATTAGCTTTGTGGCTAATTTAGCAACAGGCAGCATCAACTGCTGTAAGTGATGTTTAAGAATATTTAGTAATGAATTAAATCTACAATCACGTTTGTCAGCAGTGTAACCACCACTCACCTATTGTTACCATAACATTAAACACACTGCTGTGAGCCTGTAGAGGGCAGTGAAAAACAGGAGGGTTAGGAAGTCTGGTCTGGTAAGAGGAGAAGTGATGAGGCTATTGTTATTATTATTTAAGTCATGTAATTGACGTGACAAATGACCAACTCACCGGGAACACTGAGTGTGAGAGCTACCAGGAGCTACTCTTTTTGGCTCTGGTAGACTGCGATCAGCTGATGTTTTGTTCTGTGGTGCTGCAATGTTGTTAACAGAGGAGCTGCAACGTGCCCTCTGGTGGGCAAACTATGCAACACTCATGACATGAGGGAAGGATCTGACTCTCTGTTTCTCTTTAATAGTCATATATCGGCTGTTATAAACGCAGATTCAGATATATCAGCCGATAATATCTGCAAAACAATAAATTGGGCTCTAATGGTCATGTCCTGCTATGACCCCAAACTTACCCCTCACTTCTAGAAATAATTTCCTGCATGATATCTGTGAGGAACTATCAGTGCTCAGCTTTCACCAAAGGATCCGAGGGACTGAGCAACCCTGTCCTTGCTAATAAAAAGTTACTGGTACAGTCAGATCATGATGGTGTGTTTACCTGTTTTTAGCAATGAGGGTTTTAATGCGATCAACTTTCCTCTGCTTCTCAGCCTCTTGCTCAGGGCTCAGAGGTTCCTCTGGGTCTGTCTCCACATAACGCTCAGGAATCAGAACTTTGTCAGGCACAGAAAGCTGAAGAAATACAACACAAAGAAACACATTATATACAGCACACTTCATACAAATGAATAGAATACTATGTGCTTTTAAAATAAAAACAGACGTACAGATATAAATCCAAAAAGGACATTTATAAACAAATAAAAGTTGCTTGTCATTATCATCATCTACAGTACAGGGAGGCTGTATGTAAGAAATAAATGGAGCATCACCGAAGGTTTTGTTCTAGAGTGAAAAAAACTTAACATGAGACATTCCTCAGTATGCAGATATCAGTTGGAAAAATAAACTGTAAGGAGTTCATTGATACAAGCCACAAAAAGGCCATGAACTCTTCTAAAAACAGCATGAAGCATCTTAAAATCAAGTGCAGGGCTTATAGGCAGCCTATGAAAAAAGATTTTAGTATAAGGGATCATTGTGTCATGCTCAGTTTGGTGTTCCTGGCTGCAGTGTTTTGCAACTTATCATTTTGGTAGGTTGATAGTATTGGTATTGCAGTGATTGAAATATGAGTAAACAAATCCTTTTTATAGTTGTTACTGGCAGTTAAATATGGTGTTAATGCACTGTGGTCCACATTAACATGGTTCTTCATCTGCATGTCAAAGGATAATTTTCCTTTACAAAACTTAGCTGTCAAGTAAGACAGAAATTGGCATTTATTTCCCAAGTATAATTTTGCTTTATTAAGCATGACAAGAGGTGTTATACTGAGAAGTAATTCTTTCAAGGTACCAATTTGTTTTAGCACTTATTACAAAATCATTCTTGGCTTTTAATTGTACTAATACCATCTAACTGTGTCGTTCTCTTTAATTATTCCACTTTCGTAAACATTTCCTGAATAATTCACCTTGGATAATATTAACCCTCTCAATCTGATGAGTAAGACAGGCAACTGCTGCGCCTTTACCTCTCGGTCCACATTTAAGTGGTCAGCCTGCGAGGCTTCTTTGAGACGGGCAATCTCCTCAGCAGGCGTCTCTTGGTCCCTCACCACCTCCTGCTGCCTGAGCGAGGCCTCCAGCTCCTGAATGTCACAGCTTATCACATCATCTCTGCGCCTCATTTGGGACTAGAAAAAACAGGAAAAAAAGAAGACAAAAATGCAGAGAGATCATATCACAGGACAGGATTTTAGGATTTTATTTCAGCCTACTCTGAACTCAAGTGCCGCCTTAGTGTCTGCAGCAGTCGTCAAATACCTGCATGCTGCGAAAATGGTTGTCTTTAGTAAATGAGTGACTGCGAGAAGGAGTGTTCTCCTGGCTGCCACCCCGGATGCTGTGGCCTTTCTTTTTCTCCTTGAGGGCACCCTGCTGGTGGCGGCGGATCCTCTCCAGCTGCTCCTCCACACTCATCCTGGGCCGGCTGCTCTCCACAGCACACAGCTGCTGCTCCATTGCGCTGCGTGGACGCTCCTGTTAGCCAGAGAGGAACACCACAGACATGCAAGCACACCACAGAGGGACACAGACAACACACACAATAAATAGAAGTTAATAATAATGTAGCATCACTGTCAGATATTCAATGCAAGGAGACAAACGTCACCATGGTCATTTTTTATTACACAGAGCCATAATTGGGCCGTGTAGCTCAGTGGCGTCATGGTGCTGTTGGGTCTCATGATGCAGAGTTCAGTGAATAAAAAAGGTTTTGTTAAAAACTGTCTAAATTTGACCAAGTAGAATAATTGCAACTTCTCTGGCAATAGTGCATGTACTGAAAAAATGTTTTGCTTCTTTAAACAAACCTAACAGTCAAGATTAACATAATAACCACAATAATGATCATGAAATGGCTCTTTAATGTTCATTCTCTTAGAACCTAAATCAGCAGAAGTCCAAACACATATGGAAACAACCTGACTGGCGGCTGGGCCTCACACACGTGCTCCCTGCTGGCACACATGGGTGCACTCAGAGGGGCTTGGGGCCTGTTAATGCCTGAGCAGGAGAGGATGATGATGTGAAGTGAACGGAGGAGTCGTTCACTTTTAGGTTTGTGTCATGCTGGAGGGCCTGGCATATCTGGATTCAGTCCAGAGCCCAAGGATGCAGCCTCCACTGTCCAGACTGTTCAAGAGGCTGGTATCCAAGGGCTTAAGCTGAACTCTACAAGCCTGTAACAAACTCTCTTAGAACTGTAGGCTATATGGCCTACAGGGAAGACTACAGCATGTGTGCATGTTTATGCAGCTGACGTTTCACAAAGTTCACGTAGGTTCATTTATACTATATGTCCACCTTTATTCCAAACACATACACAACAAAAACAGGACACACCCTACTGTGTGGTGCACTAATGACATGGTGAGTATATTTAAGTTGATAGTGTTTGCAGCTGGAAACTGTATAAAACAATCTTGGCATCTATTTTATGACAGCCTGGTTCTAAGAGCACGAGTCACACCCTGGCCACGTGACGAGTTGCTTCTTCAGCCACAAGTTAGCTTTCAACCGCTTAATAACCAAAACAACCAATTAATAGGGCAGTCAACGTCATTTTCAAGAAAATTAAGTGGTGGCCAGTTTGGTGCTGCCCACAAGAGACTCACAATGACGGTGTAACGTAAAGAACACAAGATCAAAATGCATTTGCTACTGTTACTGGGGTGGTGATGGTGCAATGGATAAGACGCCTGCCTGTGGTGTGAGAGACCCCGGTTCAATCCCCCACTGTGACTCATCCACCATTGTCTCCCTGAGCAAGACACTTAACCCCTAGTTGCTCCAGAGGCATGCAACCTCTGATATGTATATAAGCATCAGATAAATGTAATGTTACTATTACTGTTTTTCTATTGCTTAAAGACAACAATGCCTGGTTTTCCAAGTAGAGTAATTAATTGCTACACAATTTAGTCCTTTTTACATTTAAAAAATAGTTCCAGACAACTGATGGCAATGTCTCGCGGTCCAAAAGGTTAAAACATGCCAAGAACAAAGTATAGTTACTATTAGAAGACACAGATGCAGTAAGGACTAAAACGCAAGGACTCACCATCCTGGGGTCAGGCTTCTTGCTCTTCCTTAAGGTAACATATGAAGCTATGGAGGACGACTCAGGCACTGGAGATTTGGTCCTGGGAGGGACAATGCCAACTGGGTAGGACATCCCTGGCAGGTAAAAAGGACAAGGCAATTCACTGAGGAGTGAATTATAGATACTGCCTATGAACTGAGTTTGCACAATATTAAAAAACACTATGTTATGTTTGCACTTAAGATTGGTCAATAATACAGCTACTGGAGTTTTCCCATCCATGTGGTAATTAATATTTTCTTACATTTTTAGAATAAAATCATCTATGTATCAGTGAGACCTTCAAGTTAAACTATAATAGATTATATATATAAAATCTGGCATCAAGTACACTCTGCTAACAATTACAGCATTTGCAGGCAGCATCTGCAGGTTGCTACTATTGATTGTGTGGCAGTGTGGAACAAGTGTGAACCTACAGAGTAATCATTCAACTTCAGAACCAGGATTATGCTGTACAAGCTGCTTCACCAAATTTAAAGAATTCTAAATCACCTTTTCACAGACAAAGTAGAGTGGCATGAAGTCTACATACAGTTGAATACATACATACTAAGTGATACCAGCAGTAATTCACATTTCAACCTAGAAAAGAAACCAGAGCAGTGTTGTATTTATTATACACTCTGGAGAGAAGACATATATATATATATATATATATATATATATATATATATATATATATATGATCTGTATTTACAATTTCACTCTCCTCCTCCATGTTTTCTTGCCACCCTCTTCTTCTGCTACGGTTGGCCAGCTTAGAGGTACATTATCACCACCAAGTTACTGTTAGTAAGCAGTCCTGCTGCCCAAATCCTGTTACCTTGCAAGGCAGCTGGATTTGTGAGATCATGCGAAAATCGTGCTATCACATGAGATTCAAGCTTTGATTTGCTACATAGCCTGCCCCAAATATATAGCACAGACACAGAGGGATAGCTCACGCAGTGGAAACAATATTGCCAAATCTCAACATTTCCATGAATGCATGATATATACAGTCATATCCCCTAACCCTAGGGGTCACAGTATAATTTCATCAGGCATTGATTGGGTTTTTGTTAGTGTCACCAAAATGGATAACCTTTTAAAAAAACTGTACAGTTACCGGAAAGCGGCATTCTATTACTTGCCGTCATTCTACTCCAGTGTACCTTTGTTTCCAGTATGTTCTCTATCAGACGGGTGTTCAGATCTGTCCTCTCCATTGCTCTCATCTACTTCAGTCACTGTAGTGAGCTCTGGTTCACTCTTATACAGTCTGTAGTCTGGGCCCTGCCGATGAGAAAGAAAGAACAAGTTCAGCAAACATACATAACAGCCCTGATTTATAGTTATGGAGAGATTGGTTCCAAACTGAGACATAACATTTAACCTCCTCTTAGAGAATGACTTCAACAACAAAAATCCTTTTTCTACAAAAGTATGGTTTTATAGACCGGGCAATCTTAAAACATAAATGTATACAGCTTCAAGAAAAAACTCTACATGTTGTTCGAGTTCGAAACACTGTTTTGTAGCCAAATGAAAAAGTAGGCAGCAGGCAGACGCATTCAAAAAACCAAGGACAGAACACAACAAAACAACACAATGTTGCTACTTTTCAACACACAGACAAGAGGCATAAAAAGGAAAACATCACAATTCTATAGAAAAGACAAAAAAAAATGTGAGAGCGGCTTCATCCAACTAACTGGGGGGAAAATTATGGAAGTATGGCATCAAGTAAACAGTGGGATATGATCCAACCAAACACAATCCAAAAGACATCAGATGTCCGTCAAAATGAAAGTGAAAACCATCACAGCAAGCAATGACGAGTGATGACATAGCTGAGGGCAGGGTCAACGGGTCAACAAGCTTACGCTGTGTGTGGCATTCCTGTGACTGGCCTTCCTGTCCTCCGGCCTTGGAGTGATGAAGGGCGCACACCAGCATGAGAGGGCATAGGGGGCACGGTGGGGGGGTTGGGCTCATAGGACTGGGGTAGAGGTGGCCGTGGGGGTGCCGAGTCCTCCTCCTGGGGATTTTACATGGCATGACAGGACAGGAAGAAGGTGACACATGGCGCCACCATGCACACTCAGGGAAACCACCATCTGGTACAGTGTAGTTCTGGGCCGCAGGACAGCCAAACCAGCTGATTAGCCAAAGAGAGAGCTCCACGTGCAGTTACAGGGTGACTAACACATCACTCAGATACCACCACTCATACTGTCTATGAGCAGGGTTGGCAGTTCGAGCAGTCAGCTTAAGTTGATCTGGGTAAAAAGAACCTGTAAGGCTGCAAATCCAAATTATTTTTATGATTATTTTTTCAAATTAATGGGTTTATTGGCCCACCAAAAAATAAAAAATCCCTTACGACATCTTCAAATTGACCAAAACCCAAAGATATTCAAATTACAATTATATAAAAAAGAGAAAAAGACCAAATCCCCACATCTGAGAAGCTGGAACCAGCAAATGTTTGGCATTTTTGCTTGATAAATGACTTAACGCAGTTAAATGAGTATCACAATAGCTGTCAATTCATTTTCAACTGATCTCTGATCAGTTGAAAATGAATTGACAGCTATGAAAATGAATCTGTATGGCCACGTGACCTGTTTTGTGTCTCATTTAGTGGCACCTCACCTCATTTTTGTGCTTGCTGAAGTTGGTCTTGGGTCCATAGAAGTTCATACCATCAACAACATTTCTCTGAGCTTTATGTTTATTGAGGGCCTCCATCACATCTTGAATCCTCCAAAGTTCTTTCTGGATGCGGACGTGCTGCTGGCTGGGAGGCTCCGTCTGGGTGTGCACGGAAAACACACAATGTTCACAAATAACCTAATATCACCTACAGATTAACACTGAACTGGTGTTCTGGACACAGAGAAGAGCAGAAGAGCAAGAGAAACACATGCGTAGTATATCATATTGCGATTACTGTGGACAATATTGCGATTGCGATTCGATTATAATGGAACTATGAGTTGCTCTACGGAGGAGGCGGCTAGAAGCAGCAAATATTGGCACACTGGCACAGACTCAATGTTCATTTGTCTAATGCAGTTCCTCCTCCACAACCTGGAGGAAGAACTGTACATGAAAGTATTAAATAAAGAGTATAATGTTTAGTTAGTAGTTTACTGTTAGTATAACAATAATATATTTAATACTACAGTCATTAGAATTTCTAATAATAGTTTACTTTTTACCACTTGTTGAATATTAAAACCAGTTGCAGCTGTTTTATTTGTGAGGGCTGTTTTTATTCATTATGTCCTTGTGCAAGCAAAAGGCTCTACATCAGTCTCTAATTTGTTAATGCTAAGTATTAACTTGTCAATAATCATATTGTTCAACATTTTGCTGTAGCACGTCAAAGTTTTTTAATGCCCCGCCTCATCCAGGCTTTGATTGGTCAGGTAACGAAAAGTACTGTCGGCTTTATGAAAAGTTGAACATGTTGAACAACAAAAGGCACCAATACAAGTAGGTACCAAAACCTTCCTTATCTTCTCCCAGTTTTCTTCTGTCTTAGCCTACTGCTTCAGCTGCAGACAATGTCTCTCTCTGTGTCACAGAGTGACCGGAGCAGTTGCACTGGGTGCTCCAGTGACGAGTCCGACTATGTTTTGTACGATTAGCAGCGGGGCAGGGAGGGAGTTTATTGAAGGTTGTTTTCTTAAAAGTTACTCGCACACCCCTCATAAAACATTTTTCTCATAGCACGTAGGCTTATCTGTTTTTAGGGGCACATGCGAGAGCCTGGTGTGGGCGGAGATAATGAGCAGACTGCAGCGCACACAGAGCAGAGAGCGTCACATACACCTTTTCTGTTTTATTAAATCGCACAGTTTTTGCAGTTATGTAATCGCACATGACGACATCGCTATTGCGATTAGATCAATCGTACAGCCCTAGTAGTTTTTTCCGCTTTACTGATGACAGGTTTGTCAGTGAGTGAAAGGCACTTAAAAAGAGGATGTCCAGGCTCCCTGCTGGCCCTCTGAATTCTGCAGCTAAGGGTGCCGGGGCACTAAACTCACTTTCCCCCCAAAGTTAAAAAAGTGTCTACAAAAAGAATGACTAGGTGTTCAAGTCTACCGCATTTTCAGCTTTCTTTTGAGCATCTGTAGTACATGTACAACCAAAGTTTGAATATGCAATGCAAGATTAAAGCAGTGCAGCTTCAGTCTCAAGAAGTGTCCTACCTGAGGGCTTCCCAGTGCTTCAAGCTGCTCTAGCAAGTTGTTCTTAGCCAGAGTCACATCTCCTTCCAACCTGTCATACTCCCTCCACGACCGCTCCAACTCCTGGTGTGGGAGAGATACACTTTGTGAATGACAATGTCAAATAAAAAAATTAATAAAACAAGCAGGCAAAAACTCTCCTCTCACTAGCACTCCTGATTACAGAGAGCCTCAGTGACCAGCATGAGTGTGTGTGAATGCACTGTATGACTCACGGCTGTGACTCTGGAAAGCTCTCTACAGGTGCTGAGCAGGCCGCTCTGCAGTAAGTCACTCTGCTGGATGACACTCTGCATGGCAGCAGGGTTATCAGAGCCCATCTCTATCTCCTGGCTGGCTGACAGCAGTGCTGTCTCCAGAGTGTGCTGAAGGAACACACAACATATCAAATACACTTGCATGAGTAACCTTTTAGGTCACAATGGATAACAACTAGTCACAATGGATTAATTAACCCCATGACCTTGTTTTGAGTTCACATACTCTTTGCACAGATATTAAATTTATTATTTTTCGCAATAAAATAAGTGACTATTTAGTCTACAAAATGTCAAAAATAATAACAAATTTCTATCAGTCCAGCTCAGAGCCCAAAGTATGTTTTTAAACTGTTTATTTTGTCAAATCAACAGTCCAAAGACTCAGATATCTCCAATAATAGAAAGCATTAAAAAATAAGCAAAAAACCCTGGGGAACCAGCTATTGTTTGGTAGACTACTTCATTGATTTATCAATAAACAAAATTGTAATCAATGTACTGTCTTTCAAGAGACAAATCAATTCATCTGCCAATCATTTAATTTGAATTAGTTATTATTTTTGTTTGTTTTTATGGGCATGGAGGTGACTCCAAATGGACTACAAATTATGCTACATTTCAAAATGTTTTTATAATTTTATCAAAAAAATAAAAAGCATGCATGTAAGAATCTATTGGGACTACGTTTGTGTAAGTGACTCCAATGTTGAGTCAGATTTGGTATACTGTATAAACATTGCTGTGTACGTCTAACTTGACAGTATTCTCTCAATGCCTGTCAACAATGACCAACACAATGTTACAGTCTGCTGACAGTGGACAGTCAGATTTGCTAAATATGACATGGCTTTGCAAGCCTTGCAAGTTGATGAAAGTAGCTAGGCTATAGTTAAGCATTATAACAAATATATTTTAGACTTTGTTGTTTGTTTTTTTAACTCTCATATTTGTGCATATACATTTAACTCAAGCTATTCTTATAATTTAAGCGTGAGTGTAAACTGCTTATTCTTTTTAGTTTATGTTTTTCCACTTGTGAGTTTTTCAAACAGTGTTTTGTGTGAGTTAAGTAAAGATGACAGATGTGCAGTGTTTAGTCACCTTCTCTCTGTACAGCTGCTGAAGTTTGTCCTCCTGTGTCCTCACCACTTTGTCCTGCTCACACAACCTGCTAAGTTTGGTCTGAGGAGAAAACAATGAAGAGTCGTGACCCACTGTGTATGGATGAATGGAGCATCATGTCGTGCGAAACACACTGAACTTACATCAATGTCCACCTCTTCTGGCATACATGTATAGGTATGTTCCCTGTAGTCTTCTGGACTCAACTGTAAAGAAAGACAGAACATTAGACAGAGACACCAAATATGCACATTAGAATCTGGAGATCTAATGCAGTGTCATGACAAGGCCCTCTCACTGAGCCACTGGATTTGTCCTTGAGTAGAAACTCATATTTCACTAAATCAGACTATCTACGTGTGCAAACCAATAGCAGGAAAGCAGCCAGTCTAAACACAGATTCTGGGGCCTCGTGTTTCATCACCCACAGTTGTTTGTCTCCATCAGCACAACACAGTGGTTTTATTGGAAATGCAAGGGAAAGGAATGTAAAACAATCTTCCTTACTAAACTCTAGAGTCAGCGCATATGCTGTGTCCACCAACTGTGTTTTCACAAGCACATGCTCTGCAGTTCATTGGTCCAGGGAATGTGTGTGTTGCATTAAGTCAAAGTGCAATTTTACTTAAAGATATTCCCAGAATAACAGCATCAGATCTCCTTAAGACCTTCTAACATACAGTATGTTAAGAACAATTGTAGTTACACCTACATTTATGTAGTTACAATACCAAGAAAAGAAAAATGCATCTTCTTTCCACTTAATACCGCAATTCTAATTATTTTAAAGAAGAATAAACACAGCTCAACCAGGGAGATTATTTCAACTGCATTGGATCCCTTGTTTCCAGAAAATCCATTCATCACATAATGCTTCATCATTCACCCAACACTTCTAAATTTAAAAAAATACATGTATAGTTAATTTATATTAATATAATATTAATATATTTCTTGCTAACATTGGATATGAAATGACATAATGACTACGAGGTCAAAGTGCCAACTTTCAGCTTTAATTTACATCCTTATTGGCCCCCGGACATTGGGGGAACCAAAATAAATGTTACATTACAAAATTTAAATACACTTGAATTGAGTAATAATGCTTAATATATGGTTTCAAATAATTTACCGTCAATGACTGGCTACTCTACAACCTACAGACATCAGCAGACACTGGTATCTTCCCTCGTGACGCTCTGCCAGGCCTGAACAGCAGCCATCTTTCCTTCTTGCTTGTTAAGGTCTTTTTGCTTTGAGTCTGGTGTTCAGCAAGTGAAGCACATGACCATGTCACATTTCAGATCACATATCTGTTTAGTCCTAAAAAAACAACGGTTGCTTTGGTCGTACAGTATGTTAGGTTCATTAACCTCTACTTTAAAAAACCTTAAAGTTAAGAATCCGCACTTTAACTTTGTAGACATTATTTAATTTCAAATTCAATGTGCTGGCCTACCGAGTCAAACAACAAAAAAATTGACTTACTGTCCAAATACTTTTAGACTCTACTTATATACAAACATTCCACACTCACACCTGCACTCTTTTACACACACTTTTCTTAAAACCTTTTTCCTCCATTGAACCACACAGAACAGTTAAAGCAGGGACCTGAGAACCACATGACATTCCACACAAAACATGCAGACTCTCCCACAGCACAGAGAGCTTCACTGTTGTGTGGTGTGGATTACGAGTGACATGGGGAGGAGGAGGGAGACAGACTTCTAGCAGCTGAACAGGTGGGAATGCAGCTGTTGCCGGGCTTGTACACCAATGAACAAGTGGTGGGGTGAGGGAGTGTGGGGGACAGTCTTTGGCGGCACTTTTACACCTCGAGAGGTGGTTACAAAAGTGGCAAAGTGATGTAATAGCCATCCTCACACATAAGCCGGCCCTCCTTACCATTAGCAGAATGACAAGAGGGGGTGAGAACGCAATGCAGACAGGAAAAAAGGAAAAGAGAGTTTACCTAGAAGACTCATCTTCGTCGTCAATATGACCCCCTGGCCATATTAGATATAGAGTCTATTCCACAGTTTATGATCTATTGTATTTAGTCTATAACCACTAAATCTTAAAATCAAATTAATAAAGCAGCACTTGTTGACTCCAAATTAACTGTACAGCATAACTTTGTATTTTTGTTTTAAGATGGTGGAATATTCATGTGTTCTGCAAAAAGTGAATATTTATTTACTTTTGTGTACTTAAACTATGCCATAAAACAATCCCCTATAATTACCTATATTTCACATAAAGATTTAGTATTTGGTAAAGCACTAGACTGAGAAGTGGCTCAGAGTCACCTTGCCAAGTCCAGGTTGCTCAGCTAATGAGAGGGAACACATTCTGCAAAGAGTTATAAAAAATTGCACACTAACCTCCACAAGTTATGGCACTAAAAAAAACAAGAAGAGTAAAGACTAGAGGCACTGCTACCTAAATTAACTGGGTGCAACCACAGCTTTAACTTTGATTTATGACGGTCCCACGGCAAGCTGAGTGTTTTCTAAACACATATCAACTTCTAGAGTAAACTATATTCAGCCCCAACACATAAACCTGAGAGTGAGGAAGGGATTTTACTGAACAGTGAAGCATACACATCATACTACTCTTTTACAAGTCATGCTCATATTGGCATGACTTCTCATAGTAAGAGGAGAACAGTCAAAAGCAATGGATGAGGAGGTGCTGGCGATACAAACGATACAGGGAGACCAGTCTCAAGATGCCATGAGGACTTGGACACTGACGGAGGAGCATCGCACAACAGACCAAAATAACAACAACGATTTGTGAGCAACGCCTTTAGCTGGCCTTACTTGCTTGTAAAGTTGAGGCCTTGGGGCAGAGTTCTCAATCAAAGTGTGAGTCATGACGATTAAAGGGGCATTTTCCTTCATCTAGTCCAGTGTGGAGAGGAGCGATATAGCAAGTGTCAGTTTATAGCAGTGCTTCACTTCAGAGACAACACCGACAATGTTGTTACACCTTGCTTGCTCTCACTCATGAAGCATACTCAAACATAAACACGTGCATCCAAAGTGGACCGGGATGGATACAGCAACGAGGAGTAATAAGAGACACTTACATACAGAATCAGGAAGACATTGTAGTGTAGAGCACTTTTGCTGCAATGTATGTTGAGTGGATGGCAAATGGTAAGCCTCATCACTTTACTTTCAGTGTTAAGAACAAAATTACATATTTCCCAATAGTTAACACAAATATGAGGCTAGCTCCTTTGAATATGAAATTATATTCTCTATAGTTATTTTTAGAAATGTAGAAATGTTATTGGGCCTCTGTGTACTATAAATTGCACTTTTGTAATTACTTTAACTCTGAAAGCAATCCAGAAAAAAAAAAAAAATCAGAAGAGGCATTTAACAGTTCAATGACATGATACACACCTCTCTATATATGAACTGTATATGGAATACATAAAGCTTATCCCCATCTATATACACCAATCAGCCATAACATTATGACCACCTGCCTAATACATAGGTCTGACTTTTGCTGCTAAAACAGCCCTGACCCATCGAGGCATGGACTCCACTAGACTCTGAAGGTGTGCTGTGGTGTCTGGCACCAAGACAGCGGCTCATTTAAGCCCTGCATTGTGAGGTGGGGCCTATATAGATTGGAGTTGTTTGTCTAGCACATCCCACAGATACTTTATTGGACTGACATCTGGAGAATCTCCAACACCTTGAACTGTCAAATGTAAGTCGCTTTGGATAAAAGCATCTGCCAAGTGAGAAGATGTAACGTAAATGTAACTCGTTGTGGCGCTGCATCCCGCTGAAAGATGCCACTGCCGTCAAGGAATACCATTTCCAAGAGAGGGTGTACTTGGTTTGCAGAATGTTTAGGTAGTTAGAATGTGTCAAAGTAATATCCACATGAATGGCAGGACCCAAGGTTTCTCAGCAGATCATAGACCAAAGTATCATACTGCTTCTGCTGGCTTGCCTTCTTCTCATAGTGCATTCTGGAGCCATGAGTTCCCCAGGTAAGCCATTCACACGCACCCAGCCATCCAAGTGATGAAGTGTAAAAGAAAATGTGATTCATCAGACCAGGCCACCTTCTTCCGTTGCTCCGTGGTCCAGTTCCGATGCTCACATGCCCATTTTAGCCGCTTGCTGGAGTGGACAGGGGTCAGGCATAGGCACCCTGACTTGTCTGCAACTACGCAGCCCCATACGCAACAAACTGCGAGCACTGTGTGCTCTGACACCTTTCTATCAGAACCAGCATTAGCTATTTCAGCGATATGACCTGATCAGATGGGACAGCCTTTGCTCACCACGTGCATCAATGAGCCTAAGTCGCCTGTGACCCTGTCGCCAGCTCACCGCTTTTCCTTCCTTGGACCACTTTTGATAGGTACTGACCACTGCAGACATGGAACACCTCACAATAGCTGCAGTTTTGGAGATGCTCTGACCAAGTCAACTCGACATCACAATTTGGCCCTTGTCAAAAGTCGCTCAAATCCTTATACTGGCCCATTTTCCTGCTTCTATATAACACACCGACTTTAAGGACAAAATGTTCACTTGCTACCGAATATATCCCACCCACTGACAGATGCCATGGTAACGAGAAAACCAGTGTTAGCCTATTGCCTTCACCCATCAGTGGTCATAATGTTATAGCTGATCGGTGCATATATACTGTGTATATATACACACTACACTATATACTATACAGAATTGAGTGATATGCAGATATTCAGTTAGTATAGCTGAAAGAATGAATGGATATGTCCATCTAGGGACAAACTTTGCAAACTAGCTGAGGCTATAAATGCTGTGGTATGTGACATGGTTCATGCTATGTAGCTATGCATATAAAAATGAACATTAAATAAATCAATGATAAGTTAGCTAGGCATCAAACAAGAAATAATTTTTTACAGTGGACAGTACTAATCATTATAGTAATAGCAAAGCATTAAATTTGTTCAGTTTATGATAAGAGGAGACAGGGCCATGCATTCATGCATTACCCCACCTGATTGTCCAAATACATGAGGTTCCTTTGGAGGTGATGCGACAGAATGTCGTTCTAAGGTCAGCAGCAAAAAGGAGAGGAAAGAAAAGGCAACAGGAGAGTGAGACCAAAAAAAGGATGCACATAAGGACACACTTTCTCTGATGCTCCTTTTCTCTCTCGCTTTCACACAAGCATGTCATGGACAGTATACCCAAAGATAACCTGACAGAAAGGAAGGCAGGTCCAGTCTAGGTGAAGAAAAAAAAAAAAAAAAAAAAAAAAAAAAAAAAATCTATATATATATATATATATATATATATACATACACACACACACACACACACACACACACACACACACACACACACACACACACACACACACACATAAATCCTTCATTCCCAACCATTCTCCACCTCAGGCCTGGCTGACCTACATCAGAAACAGTCAGACGTGTAGTCTGACATCTAAGAACAGACTTAAATGCAGAAATCCTGAATTAACATTTACGTATGCCAGTGGCCTTAACCTCCTTAGCCAGTCACTCTTTAAGCTTGCCAATGGCTTTAAGTTTCATTAATGGCTAACATCTGTCTGGACTCTTTAGGGAAGTAACATAACTGCTTGCCTGACTGAAATGGACCAAAGGTAAATGATGTGATGATCTATATAAAGTCAGATGGTGGTTGTAAACGTTATTTTTGTTTCCATACATTTCACACATTTTGGGAAAAGCTGAAAACAAGTTAGGTGATCTCTAAATATGACACAGACAACTTCAAGCCAAAGCATAGTCCTTTATGGAGAAAATGCCTACTGTAAAGCCTTTTCTGCTTAATTCAGCCACGTGTGAAGACCAAAAAAAATCCTCTGGATCGAGATGGATAATGGAAGTAAAGCTGGCATACACTCCACACGCTAACACACAAGCCTGCAGGGGCATCTCTGGGGGCCTGACCTTTGGGTTGTCGCCATCCATGTTTAGTTGCATAAGCTGTGCTACAGTGTGCTCCCGGATACTGTTTAGCTCTGCCTGCTGCCGCCGCAGCTTTATCAGCAGCAGAGTCAGTTCCTCAGGCTGCAAGGGAGGGAGGAAGGGAGGGACATAAAAGCCACAATGGAACAAGGACACACCGCAGGGGGATTGGGAGAGGATAGGAGAGAACACACCAGGACAGGAGATTTAGAGGTATCAGGCTCCCAACAGGTGAACAGTTGCTACTGTACATCTAGGTATTGAGTTTTCATGCAGATCAGGACCATGAGATTCTCCAAGGTGCTATCGCTGTCAGCAGCATGCAAATTCTACACGTCCACTCAAGACAGGAGAACAGTTTAGCGTTTATTACAGAATCCAGTTCACACTTTACCAGTTCCATGAGGACATGCGGCTTTGACATAAATTTCTGATCTGGCTTAGAGAGTTGTGAGTGACAGGGTTTTTTAAGTCTCCACTGATGTGACGCGAGTCAAAGGAGCTCCCTGAAGTGAACAACATGCTAAATCCGACCACTTGGAACATGCATCTGAGTTCTGCCTAAACCTGTCTCTAAAGATTCTGTCACAATGTCTTCCTGGAAGGAATGAAGGACAGAACGATGGAGAGGGGGTAAGGGAGGGTAGTTGGTGTTATGAAAATAGCCTTGTCATTCAAATAAGTCGAATTAAAGTTAAATGAATAGGTGTGTAGAGGTCAAGCTTTAAATCACTGGGTGGTGTATTACAGAAATTGAGTTAGAAAATAGTGATGGACACAGAAGGGGACAACATGTATGAAGGACTTACTGTTTTGCCTTGAAGAGACTGGGCAGTGATTGTCTGAACTGGGATCCCTGCGGGCATAGACCTCCTATCAGGTGGGTAGGCATACTGCAGGACACAGTGAATTAAAAACAAAACAGTCATTTTACACTATGGATTGCTTTAATTAATCATTCACAACCAAATGGCTCACTCAAATAAAAGTTTTATTTGCCAAAATTTGGAGATATCCAGCTCAGATCACCACAAATACAGGTGATACAAGATTAATGGGGTTTTGTTTGTGCTGCTCAAAATATCGAAAAGTTAAATGATAAATAGCTTTTTTGTAATGTGGGTGAACCACCACTTCAGCAGTTGTGTATGCCTTAACTGACCTTGTTGAGTTGTGGCCTGTGCCGTCTGTCAATGCTCAGGTCTCGTCTGTAGATGGGAGAGGATACCTCTGAACGAGCATTATTTAAGTTGTAGGATCGCATTGGAGAGTAGCCACCATACATGGACAGGGAGCCGTGGGAGGGCGAGGGGGGGATGGAGTGGCTTGGTGCTGCATGTTCTGATAGGTTGATCATGGTTTTGGGACTAGCCATATTGCTGTAGAGCCCCGGTGGCCTGCTGTAGGCCTGCCTTTGCTGCCACTCAAATAACTGCCACATGGTGTCATCGCGCATGGAGCGGCGCTTGTCCGCCGGTAGGGGACCCAGGGCCTGGTCGTACAATGATGGCGACATGCTGCAGATGCTGTCCCGCTGTGCCATGCTATTCCTGGGCATACTGCAGTAGCCATCGCCATAGGGAGGCATATAGGGTACCCGATGGCTTGGCATGTTTCTAGGCAGTGTCTGGTATGACGTGATGCTGGGGAGAAAGAAAAAAACAGAAGTCATTAAAAGAGAGTTGAAGAGATTTCATTCATTTGACTAACACAAACAAATAGTTTAATAGAAACACAGATGAGTGGATAGTCATTTCACATATACTTTAGACTGTCTATTAGAACTACCATCAGCCCTCAAAGGAGGTACAACATTTTAATCCTTTTTACTTTATTATTTAATTTGTTTATTTCTTTATTTTATCAATAATAAGATCTATCTGTCAGGTTCAAAGTAGATAAAAAGTTGTTATAGTGAATGAGACTTGAATTTCTCTACATTGTGTGATTTTGGAAAACCCAAAAACAAAACCCCCAATTATAACTTGCTAGCTAACGTATTCATCAAAGCACTGTCATGTTATGATATAGGACATAAATTACTGTTTTTGACTTGCCTTTTTAAACTTTGTAGTTGCAAAACACCTCTAGTCTATTCTTCTATAGAGATTCAATTCGGACCATCCAGGAGACCACCAAGTAAATAAGGTAGGCCTTGTTGTGTTTTTATCTATGATAATCATTTCAAATCCATTCATGTCCATTAAAAAAAAGTTATTCAATGAGCAAAAAGAGACACAAGCCAAACTGATATATGGAGGGACAGACACACTGACAAACAGGCAGTTAGGAAGATACTCAATAATGCAATATCAAGTGTTTTAATCAAAGCGTGGAGCGCTTAAGGAGAATGCCTCCTGTCTCAAGATGCGGGTGAATCAGCATTTCTAGATTATACCAAGTTTAGTTCCACTTCTTGTTGTCAAAGAAGGAACAAGTCTGGACTCTTAACCTTACCTAAAAGCAACTTGTTCTTGCATGTTTTCTCCACACAATGACATAATTGAAACATTAAGATTTTTTTTAAACCGCCATAATAACAAACCAACCTCCTGGTGTCATCGTCCTGGTTGCGTCCCCTTTGTGTGCGGACCCACTGCTCCAGTTGCTGCATAGAGGTGGTCCTACTCAAGGTGCGGTCTGGCTCATGACTAGGACTTTGCTGAGGAGGGGCTCCAGTCCCATTAGGTGGACACTGCTCGCCAGATCCGTTGACCTGGGGGCTGTGGTGTGGCCTGTCTATTTCTGTCGGAGTCTGCGGTGAGGTGATGTTAGCCTTGACGGCTGCTGCCTCGGCTGGCTGCAGTTTGATACTGTTGATCTTGGTGAGTGGACGCTCGCGCTCCGCCCCATCCTTGTGGAAGCCGTAGCGCTCTGCATCTCGCTGCTTCCTCTCTTCTTCTGCTGTGGTGACAGTGACTGCTGCGGTGCGCTCACGGTCCACCTCACGGTTGCGTTCATTATTCTTGATTTCAGGCTGTGTGAGTGCCGCCCTGTGGTTGGCCACATGATTGATCTCTTGTGGTCCACACTGCTCCACTTTTAGCCTGTCCAACCTGATACACAAAGAGGAGGCCTTAGAATAATAATGACAAAAATCTAAAACCCCGTGTTAGCTAAAGGCAAGAAAGACACCTGCTCCTTCCTCAAGAAGGTTAATACATTACATGGGACACTCATCTGTGTCACAGATCACCAGTAAAAGGTGTCTGAAACACTGTATAAAGTATGGATGAAATATACTGTATACCTAATGCTCTACTTTGTGAACTCTACTAATGGGGGTAGCTCTGAAACAAAAAGAAAGTGCAAAGAAAATGGGGTGGAGGTGCACAATGTTTATTCCAGCTGCAGGGGGAGGCCAGGCGTGTAAAAGGAAATCAGATATCTCCAATAAAATGCTGCCTCTGCTGGGGCACGTCACAAAGGTGCTGCTCAGACGCCACTAATCCATTTGCAGCTCCCTTTTGCCTCCTCTCTAGAAGACCTATCTACAGCTCTGTGGTCTTTAGGGAGGTAATAGACACCACTACTCCTTGGCCTTAGCTGGACTGAAGGTCAAGCTTCAAAGTTTGGCAAACTCCCCTTAGCAGCATGGCTCACTGGGTTAGCAATAAGAGGGCAGTAGGAAAGGCATTCCTTCAGAGTTTCCACTTGTATCACTTTAAATAGCAGCACTAGTCATGTAATGTCTTCTCCAGCCCTCTGTGGCTCCACCAGCCCAGTAGAGCACACATTTAGCCCTATGAAAGTTCGGTGTGAACTTAGTCATGCTTATTTTGAAGACATTGTAGAAATAATTAAAGGAAAATGCCCTCAACAGATAAGGATTTGGGCTATTGTTCTTCATTTTTAACATTACCCACCAGCTTAAAATATTAAAAGATGTGATCAAACGTAAAGCTGTACATAGAATACAAGATACTAGACACTTTAAAATTAGCATTTAGTCTATATAGATATTATAATGCTGTTATACTTAGTGTTAGCCTTATAACAACATAGCACTGTCATATTTAACAGTGCTGTTCAGTGGATTTCAGGCACTACTGCTCTGTGTAATTACAAAGCACTTTACCATTATGCCTCTGCTAGCCCATGTAAAAGGAGGGCATTAGAAAGGCGAGCTGCCAAATGAGAGACATTTAACAAAACATTTTTTAAAAAGAAGGGGAAAAAACCCTATCCTGATTAATTAGTGATCCTGATCAGCCAGTACAGCTGTACACAACATCCCCTGAACCTCATTCAAGGTGTGTATATGCCCACATGAGCATGGCATCCTTGTCTATGTTACTCTATAATAAACTTTGACAGTAAAAATAGTTACATAACATTAAAGGCAGACGCCACTTCTTCAACAAACCCACAGACAAGAAATGTCAAACGCGGGTGTTGAACTTTTGACTAAGAACTTAACAGGCTTAACAGAGGGATTTAAAATAACTTGCTTAGAGTAGAATGCTAAAGAAGAAAAATCTGGATGGAGATTTATACAGAGTAGTGCAGAGTAAATTGTACTTTATTGTAATTTTTTCCCATGTATTTTTCTCCATTCAGAAGGAAAACCTCCCACTGTATTGTCTCAACTTCACATAAAATACAGCCTGTAAAAAATTACTATATTAATGATGTTCTTACAAACCTTTTGACTGGCTCTGCATGCACAAGTGCAGCATCAGTCATTACTTTCATCCAAGACTCCATCTCTTTGGCTGTATCAGTGCAAAAATAGTATGTCCGCATGTTGGGATGTGTCGCCTGTTTTGACAATGGACAGGATCACAGACAGGAACAGTGACACACAGAAAAGTTACCTGAAAGAGAGAAGAGAAAAGCATCAAGTCAACTGGGATTTTTAGCACTTGAACCCTGACGGGTGAATCAAAATTGGTTAAGGCTATGTGATAGCTTGTGAAATGCTCCCAGTTGTGGGCATCTGTACCATCCACGTAAATCAAACCATGAGTCACCTGTGTTTCATGCATACAACTAGATTAGGGCATTAAATCTCCCACAGTACTGTAGGACTTACCACACAGTGCTTTGTATGGCTGACACATTGTTCCATAGTTTCTCCGTTCGCTTGCAGTGAACAAACCAATTTATTGTTGCAGCCAGACAAAGAAAGAGAAGAACAGAATGTTTAGTGAACAATCTCAATATCCTGTTTACCAATGTCTGAAAAACAAAATAAAACACTGCCATTACTCCAATTACTTCAGAATAACCTTGGGAAATAAGGAACTTTTAATGACATGGTCATTTTGGCCACAACAACAAGAGACAGGAAAGGTTTAGAAGGAAAAATATGCAGTCAAAAAGTCATCCCATTCTTGAGTGAATCACTAAACTGAAGGGTTGTGCACTGTTCTCGTGTTTCTTTCTTCACCTCAACTCTCTCTCTTTCAGAATGAGTCTAAGTTGGAAAAGGAGTGAGCTGTGTGGTTGGAGAGACCTTGAGCAGACTCCTGGGCGTCTTGTGTTTGGCTACTTGGCAGGTCAACTTTTTGTCTCTTAGGGTTTATGAAGGACCCACAGTCAAATACTATACACACTCCACTGAGATCCCATAAAATATGCCTGTTGCCCCATAACTTGGGGTTTTTTGAGTGAACTAACAGCACTGCAGTGCTCTGGTACTACACCACTGTCAGTAGCCAATACAGACATCACTACTGGCAAGCACTTTCTTTGTTTTGTTAGCATTAGCAGTGTGCAGTTTAAAAAAGAAATTACTTGCATTACTTCCCTGTCAATCAATTGTAAATACTTTCTAAAGTAAAGACAAAGCATGTTCAAAGTAAACCTAGAAGTTGATTTATATGCTTAAGAAAGCATAGTAAACCACAACAGCAAAAACATTTTTACATCTTATTTTAATAGAGATTTAAATAATAACAATAATGATTTACTTTTCTATGCTCTAAATGTCCTTAACCATAAAATGTGCAGTCTAACAAAGTTTGACAAGGATGAAAACATGCACTGACCTTGAAGGCATATTTTCTGTTAATGTGATCTTCCACAGACAGCATGGATATATGAAAGCTTGGTAGGAGGATGCTGCCAAGTATGCCCTCCTCTTTTTCATCTGCAGAGAAAAAACACATCAACACAATGCAATAGGGGCGATTTTGGTCAGTCAACTTAAAGTTGTCTACACTGCACCACACTCTACACTAATTTGTAGACATAAAAAAGCCTAGAGACTTACTAAGTGGATTGCGAGATAAAAACTAAAAGAGGTGTGTGTTGGACAGATGAGCAGAGGCCAATCACTGATTGATTCAGTGCAGCTAGGCTGCTCTAATCCTCATTAAATTTGCAGACAGGGCTCCACATTGACAACGGAGAACTCTCCACAGGGGGGATTAGATTGCGTCCCGAGTTTTAAGCAGAGAATTGCTAAACATCCTAATTTGAGCAATCTGCACTGCTTACCCAAAACAGTGTAGGAAAACTAAATATATCAAGGAAGTAAATGCTGCAGGTTCATATGTGCATTTGCTTTGTCTGCTTGGTATGTGTTCATGTTTCTGTGTGTGTTGACTGGGGATGTTATGTAAATGTCTATTAACACATACTGGTAGTAACTGGGAGGAAAAAGGCTCATCGTGGATGGTGAGTATTATTTGGGGAAATAAATGATTGCTGAACTCTGATCAGCCTCTGGTGGATTAGAGGTCAAAGTGACTGGACTGAAGGACTGAAGGATTGATCTATTCGAAAGCATCAGGTGTTCCGGCAATCTACTGGTTGCAGATTTATTTATTAAGTATCGGTGTCTCTTTCTCTCTCTCTCTCTCTCACACACACACACACATACAGAGGATTCAGCGGAACGGTCTCTGAGCATAAGCTAACATAGTGGGAGATCTAGAAAGCACATAGTCTGATAACTACAGCAGATATCATTTGTGTCTAGTTGAGGGTCGGCGCAGTTCATGACCTCTCTGCCCACTCTCTGCTGATGGATGGATTTCTCAACACGTCTGTCTAGATAAAGCCTTTGGGTTTGCTGCTGTCTGTGGCTTTTGTCAGTCAGTGGGTGGAAAGAAGGCGACAGGACTGGCAGACACCAGAAATAACACAGACTAGATGTCATCCTGATCAGCAGAAATGATGACTGTATCCGCATCAACTGAGCAGGGGCATTGTGATATGGTGACTTGTGTCAGACACAACTTAAATTTTCTTTGTAGCTGCAGACTAACAGCAGACTTACTCTACAGCTACCTTACAGCCTCAATGGTTTACAGGATTCTATTTGTTTTCAAATAGGAAAGCCCTCAAACGTCCTCTGGACACAGCTGTGTCAATATTTGATATGAACATTAGTACTGCATGAGAGAAGCTGAAACGCCCAGTCAATAGCAGCTCAGTCATTAGCATCTTATAAAAAAAGATCACATCTAACACTTGCAAATGTTTTCCTACTGCACAATAATACCAAAGAGGATTATAAGGATAGCCAGATTTTAATTATTTAATGGAAAACTAAAACTGAACTGAAAAAACATGACTAAGATTATGACTATGGTTAAAGTGCCATGGGTACATAAAAAATTCATTCAAGTTTCCACTTCAGACAAAATATAAACTTTTATTACTTGGTTATAAAAGTATAGGTTGTCTTTACTAAATTATAGAACCATGTAAATACCACACATATTCAAAAGGATGATTACAGTGATAATACAAGAGTGGTCTCTCTGATGTGGAAAGGGATCTTTAAATATTAGGATCAATTTTGTTTAATGCAACTGATTCCAAGACTTATGCTTATGCAACCACTGTATAAAAACAGCATGATCTCTGGAAACTTGTTTCGTGACTTAACATTAGTGTGAAGTCCAATGTACTGCTATGCTTTCTCTTTCAACATTATGGATGCATCCAAGCCATTAAAGCCCTGGCTTTGCTTGGGGAAAAATATAAAATCTCTCAAATGGCAAATCAGACGACAGGAGAGCCATTTCAATTAATATGTCTCCTCTGTTGGTCCTGACAGGCTGCTTACCACAGGGACTATATACTATATCCATATACATTAACAATTGCCAAGAGCGAAGCTTGTGGCTCTTAAGGTCACAACAGCACTTTGAACTAATAAAAAAACACTATTGTTGTAATCACTGCAATACTAATAAAACATGTTGGTAGCTGAAAGGACAGGACTCACCTCTGTAGTAAAAGAGGCACAGGTCAGACAGCACAAACCACCTCTTTTTCCACAGCTTCATCCCTGTACTGTCCTGAAAAGACACCAGAGAAAAAAGCAACAGTTACTTCACAAACTCGTGGGAATATTTGTGAAATGAAAAAGAAAAAGTATGTGCTGTTAAGTGCACATACCTCCTCAAACATAATCAGTTGAATTCCTATCTAATCTAATAGACTGGGTTAGTAACTTCAAAGGACTGCAGCCAATCAGTTACTTTTTGATTTGTGTGTTGTTTTAATTATTCTTTCTAATATGTTGTCAAATTGTTTTCTTATATTTGGAACTGATTTACAGGTGTGTGTTGTCAGGTCATGTATTTCTGCATATTCTGGTCTAAAATGCCTGTGGAACTCCACTGTGTATATATTTTAAGGAAATAAACAGCTTTCACTTTTAAAAGAAAGTCTGTTGTTCAAATGGCAACAAAAAACAGCCTCCTTTGCTTGGTATCGCAATGCTATGATCAAAGGGGGTTTCAGGCTGCTGTTTAAAAAGGATGAAGGGTGAGGAAAAGGGTATTAACTCCCCCATGTGCTATATTGGAAAACTTGAGCAGAGTCCCTAATCGTGGATTCCACCCGGAGACAAAAGTAGGGGGACGGACCTCAACAACTCTGTCATTATGGTCAAACAGCATGTGGGCTGCAGTTTACTTTAAATGGAAATTCACTTCCATGAACCAGCATGTTTAACACATTAGTATCAAAGGCATAATACCAGATGCTGCTGAGTTTGTTCTTAATGGAGGCACATCAGAAGTGTAACAAAAAGATTCAAACTTTCTGTCAGATCAAGCGCTGTTCAGGCGGGAAGGAAAAAAAAGAGGCATTCACCATCACATCAATCACTCTGGCATTTTGTTCTCCCAATGGATCAACTGAAGGGCTGCAGCTTTTCCTCAGCCAAGGACTTCAATAGCTTCCAGGTTTGAATGAGGCAGGAAAATAAAACTGCAAATCCAGCTTTTATTCAGGGTAGCAGATTTGTGAGTCTTTTACTTGATCTACGTCACCCGATTGAGGTCCCCAAAGAAATAGCAGCTGGCAGCTGTTCCAAAGGAAGCCATCATGAGTTCACAAAAAACGGGAGGCTGCAATCAAAACTAAATGAGTTTCCCACTTAGGAAGCATGAGAGAGTCTTGTCTGGCCAAGAGCTGCCTCAAGCACCCCCCCTTTACCCTCATGTAAGTAACCAGGGAGCTGTAATGAAGGATTGGTATTTAAACACTGCCCACACTGAATGACTGGCTGAGCAGAAACACTTAACAAATAAATGCTCAGATCCTGTACGACATCAGAAAACTTCCTTTGTGCTTATCTTAAGACTGTTGATTTGTTGCAAATCTTAATGGGAGAGGGAGACCTCTGTGTTTAAAAATAATAAATATACTGTATATAATAATATGTAGAAATATAGTTTGCACCACAAGACAACCTCCCTCTAAGCTAAATTCACACACTTTTTCCCAAATATCCTTGTTTCTAAATATCAATTATATTATAAACACATTTATCAAACAAATAACCAAATATATGCAAACATACAATAAACTAATATGAATATGTGTATAAAATACAGTATCTCATAAAAGTGAATGACATCGATAACCAGCTGATGACAGTTATACTGTCATTTCAACAACTACCATGACTAACAATGATGTCAAGTTACCTACTCTTTTTCAGCACATTATATGATTTATCGGACTAAATGTAAAGTTTTACTTGAAGTCATATAATTCATCTCACCTGTTTATAAAGCCAGTTTCTCTTGATTACTGGGGCACTGGGATTCCTCCTGATGGAGTTGGATCTCTTTCCAAAGTTATGAATTTTTTTAGAAGGTCTTGAGGGCTAGAATAATAGTATGAATCAGTGAAAAACAACAACAAAAAACATTTTCCATTTCCATTTATCAAGTTTTCAAGGCATGATCCTGTTGGTCCTAATTTAACAGACGTGCATTGTAATCTTGTCTGCATGTGTGTCACTCACTCTTCCTGCTGGGCTACTGGGGTTAACGGCATAGTCCGAGACGCCTGTGTAGTTGGATGCCTCACTCATGGTGCTTAGTGGCCGTTCCTTCTTCTCATTCGCTGGCACTTTGGAGGCAGACCTAAACAAAAGAAACAAAGCATGCCAAGAGCATATAGGCAAATAATCAATCAGAATTATAGACTGCCGATTTATGTCTAATTACCTCGATAAAATCAGGAAAATACAAGGAAGTGTCTGTCCCATCATTCCTCTGAAGTTCAAACTCTCTGTTATAATGAGATCTCAACATGGGCCAATGAATCAAGCCAATTACTCCCACCATGTCACTGCAGTTACATCCCTAACAGCTTCAAATGGTCTGCAAACTCTGCCTGACATACTGGAATGCAGTATGAAGTTGAAAGCATAGTAAGTTCAATACATTTGCCATAGATAGAACACCTTGGAAAATAAATTGTCTGGATTGGAGCATAAAGATGTCCTACATTCTTTAGGAAGGGAACAATGTTGTAGTCTAGAGGGAACAAGACAGGAAAACCAGAGTAGAGCAGAAATACTGCAGCAGTGAAAAAAAGTGTAATATATCAGATGTGCTGGTTTCAGGTCACTGAATAAGGACAGAAACTGCCCATTTCACCAATGATCTAACATTCATAGATTTCAGATTATATAGTGCCATTCATCATTAATGAAGCACTCATTTCATAATAAATATTCTTAGGGCTGAATGATTAATTGCATTTGCGATATCGCGATGTGATAGAACAAGATTTTCTAATCGCAAAGTCTGCGACACCCACATGATACCCAAGATTAAAGCAGTCTGCAGAGGAAGCATCAACTTCGCACGTTACGCTGTACTTCTACTTGTTGTTGTACAATGGCCTTAAGCTTGACAAAAGCTGACACTACAGAAACTTCAGTGTCTCACAGGGAATTAAAGTAGCACCTGCCACCCACGGGTAACTTGGTGGTTGTGGTGGGTGAAATCGTTGGGCCATCTGCCGCTTTGACGGGCAGAAAAAATGCAGAAAAACACGTGTAGTAAGGTAAGCGTATTGTGCCTGCATCACACACACAGCCACCAGTCAGCTCAGGAACTGAGAGGCACGAGTTACCACCTGGTTACAGCCAGTGCGACGCTTACCAGCATCGGAGGGGAACTCCGGCGTTGCAGAGAATCACTAACCTTGCCTATTAAACACAAGAGGTGTCACTTGGTTTTATTTTCGTTGGCCAACTTTTGAATTGAACCTCAAACTGAGTATTTTTGTTTGCTTACTGGGATATAGAAAGATGGACTCCGAGGAGATGTGAACTGAGATAAGGACGCATTATTGGTGGTTTAACTGTGTGTTCTGTTTTGAGCAATTACTGTATAATACACTGTCGTGAACTTAGTTTTTCTTGTGGGTAGGCTAACCTGATGATATTATATCATATTATTTAATGCCATGACTTGACTCAAATTATCTTTTTCATATTATTAAAAAATTATACTTCTTCTCCACCATTGCTCATAATAATAATTCATGCAATTCATGCATCACCTAATTTAATCATAACACAGGCCTGACCCACAAGAAAGAACAGTGTATGTTTAATCTAATATTGTGTTGGTCATACTATACACAGATTTACTGCTTGTCTGTTTTGAATAATAACAAGGTAAAGAGCTTAAAAATTAATCACATATTAAATCACAATCGCAATATTGGTTAACAAAACAATCGCCATTAGATTATTTTCTAAAATCGTCCAGCCCTATTATCAATCCATTCATCATCTACATGTACTTTCCATCCATCAATACTGTTATCTGTTAGATAAGAAGACAAAACTTCACACTCCAAAAAAGAAAAAACAGAGTAAATTTAAAAACGGTTTAACAATTCAGACTCCATGCTGTTATACTCATACAGTCTATGGTTAGGTGCACAAACAAGGGATCACAAGGGATAACATCAGCTTGTCTCACAACAGCAGGCAACACACAAAGGATGTTAATTTCCGTGCAGCATAGTGACAGGTCTAATACCACCTGCAGACCCTTCAACAAATGACGAAGCAAAACACTGAAAATCACAAACTGACTTTGTTTTATCTGTATTTAGAAGAAAAGTTACAAGGCTTATTAGAAGGTAGGGCTTAGTTGCACAAAGCAGCAACACTTACTATTAAGTAGCTCTTCTGATTGCTAAGTCAATAAGGTAATTTCTTACATTCTTATTAGAGTTCACTGGCTGTCTTAATGTCCTAATATCTTAATACTAAGGTGGCTCTGTAGAAGTGACACCTCCTTGGAGATGCCACAAAGTAAGTCATTGGGTAGACAAGTGGGTGACTAATGCTAATGAGTTGAAGTGCACACAATTTTCAACTCACTACAGTAAAATATCTGCTTGTGCAGACTGATGAGTAGCCACTGAGATTTGCGTTCTTCTCCATCTAATGAGCTTCCTCCAGAAAATGAGCACTGAACATTTTCAGCACTTCCAGTGACAAATGGAATCCTGGGTGAACTATAATCAATGGTGTGTTGATTTGCCATCGAAACACAAAAGGTTGGGAGGGGTCTGATTGACTGATTTTATTTATGGATTATTTGACACAGGAAAAAACAAAAATCCAAAGGATAATGTGAAGAATAAAGTAAAAGCACTTATTTCAGAGTGGTCCCAAGATGTAAGACACAAAGAAAACACAAAAAGGACATTCAACATAAAAGAACAGCTAAAGTAACATTGTCATTGCAAATGTCAATATACATCTGTTACCTTGTTCCATAAAAAAGTCCTAACCTGACTTCTATAAGCCCCTCACATTTAAAAACGTATTTAATGGAATTTAATGGAAGGCTGTTCCACATTCAAGAGGCGAAAAGTCTTCAAGTATCTTCAACAAAGTCCAGTTGCCATTGATTTTAAACTTTCTTGGATATATAATGGTACTTTTGTCTATGGATAGATAGGAGCGTTTAGCTCCAGAACACTCACCACACATCAGCTAGAGGCTGAAATTGAGCCAATTACTATGGGGATGATTAGATGGCCAGTTGGTGAAAGCCAGGTTGGGAATTTTGCCATGGCTCTTTGCGACAAGTGCCATGGATCTTTAATGACCACAATGAGTCAGGACCTAAGTTTAACGTCTCATTTGAAGGACGGCAGCTCCTACAGCGCATTGTCCACATCACTGCACTGGGGCATTGCGATCTTATTATTAAGACGAGAGGGAAGACTGCCCCCTACTGGCCCAAGGCCGATTTATACTCCTGCGTAGGGTCTACGTGCGTACCTACGCCGTGTCTGTGCAGTCGTTTCCTCGTAACTGTGTTACAGCCGCCGTTCTGGCCGCTAGTAAATGTTACTTTAAAGCACAGGGTACTTCTGGTCGGCTCGGAGGCATTGCAAGGCTACCCAGCCGACCAATCACAGAGCTTACGGTCCGCGTCGACTCGACGTGTAGTTACATTTTTGCGGAGGTGCACGTCAGGCAACAGCGTAGCCCTGTAGCCTACGCCGTCGATTTGACGCAGAAGTATAAATTGCCATTTAGTTTTCCCAGTAGGTCTCCCATTCAGGTACTGGCCAAGCCTAAATCTGCTTAGCTTCAGTCAATCAGCAGGGTTTACATTGGTATGGCTGCGGTACTATTTAGCTGAGAAGGTTTGTGACCAGGCCGCCATTTTTTTTCCTGCTTGAAAATGGACTAAGCACTGTCCCAACTTGTGCGCTCAGCACTAATTCACACTTTTCATTGCTCTTATTGGTCCGTAGTGTTTCTATGCGCACCATGTTGACCATGTGATGCACTTGCAACTTGCAAGTGCATCACATGGTCAACAGGCAGGACAAGCACACTTGCTCTGACACCCAGGGGAAATTCACTGGCTTCAGTTGAGCCAACATAATTTGTATGCCTTTGGTCTGCTGGAGGAAACGACTGTACCAAGAAGTACACACAGAGGTACACAGAGAGAACATGCCAACGCCACACTTTGGGGCCCACAGATCAAGCTCAGGACTTCTCACAGCGAGATGAATGTGCTATCCACTGGGCTGCCATAATAAAGAAGACCGTAACCAGTAGGGGTGTGAAGACACACTTAGCTCACAAGACGATATTGGGTTCACGAGAACGAGACAATATTTTAACACTATTTATAAGGAATCCTCAATGACAAAACATATGACTGTAAGAATAATCTTTTATTTGACTGAAAGTCACAAAATGCTTAATAATTCAGGTGTATTTTGAAATGTTGCCTTGTTGTGTCTTGTCTGTCACTCTGTCGTCATTTATTGTTTCCACCGGGGACCCAAAATGCTGCTGCACAAACGATTTCAAAGTGGCGGGGGCACATTGCATCCTAATTTCACCCTCATACTCTTTCATGCTGATATCATGAGACAACTTTCCACCTGTTTTAATATCACAATATCTAGTGGCACAATATCTTGTCACACCCCTGGTAACGCAATGCATAATGTACATTACATTTAAGAAACATTGCTTCAAAGATTTCCACCTAATTTTCTCTGTTTTATCATAAAATCAGTAAATGTTTTGCTTACTTACTAAGACAAACCAATATGTATTACAATGTCACATCACTGCCTGGTTCAGCATGGATTTTGTGTGCCTGTGTGAGCATGTAGGTCTGTGTGTGCAAAAAAGAGTGAGGAGGGATTACACTGCCACTGAAGCCTGGTGCTCTAAGCACATTGGGGGAAAACGCTGAACTGAGTGGCTGAGGGTGCATTTTTAAATTGACCACACAGCATTTCTAAAGAAACAAGGCTGCTTTCAAATACTTTTGTTTGGTGGTGAACCTGACCTTTAACGAACAAAAAACTAAAAGACAAGGCAAGATATCAGTGTATACATTTACAGGTTAACAGATGCAGTGTAGCACAGAGCTGGGTGATATTGTTCACCAACCCAATTTGACTCCTGTCACTTTGTTTTGGAAATGTGTGATGCTTTTAAGGACTATTCCCTCTGAAAAGTACGGGTCTAAGTCGAAAGTCACACTTCTGCTCTAATTTGTATTTCAAAATCAGGTCGCATGGAACATGAGAGCTAATGCTAAAGCTTTGGTAGTTTAGTATATTTAAAATACGATTGTTCAGCACATTATGTTATGCAGACATACAGCTGTCCTGTAAGCCTGATGGTAGGTAAAATAGATTTCTATATTGTGTTGTATCTAATATAATATAATAAATATACTGTATGTTTATCATTCTTTAAATGTTTTGTCAGTTTGTTGATATCAAGTAAATATGTATGTATGAAAGTCTCATGTTAGATATTTTTTGGTCATATCACCCTGCTCTAGCTTATCAAAGGAACAGAGTCAGGACTCTTACCTGTGTTCATGTAGCCTGTACATCTTTAAGGGACAAGGCATGAAGGGGTGTTCACAAAGTCAAGGTTTTTGACAGTTTGTCAAAACAAAGTGGCATAAGACTTAACTGAGCTGTGTACCACTAAGTGCAGAATGATCACTTTTGATGCCTTTTGGCCTATTATAAAGAAACCTGTCAGGATCCTGCAACCAAACTGCCAACAAAGTGAATTGAATATAAACATTTTGTCCAAAAGCTCAGCTTTCATCAAGGATCAGGATGTACGCTGACCTTCAGTTCAGGAAAAATGAGTAATGATCTCCCTGCGGTTAGTTGTTCATAAAGGTTTAGATGAACACAACAAATGGTTCAGACAGCAAAGTGCACCTTACAGGACTTTGGAATCCAAATGCATAACAGGACATCAGGCAAAACACCACTAAAAAACACCCACAGTCTGTTGTTAGTGTGCAACAACAAGGATTATTAACAGACAGACATGTTCCAAGTCTTTTATATAAGAAACAAATGTGGGGAACACAGTCATCTATTTACACCTAATAGTGTATTAGCCTACCTGATAAATGCTGGGTGACACAATTTTCCACAATTCACACTACAAAACAGAGGAAAGGAAAATTTGTTGAGAAATCAAATGTTTTGACAAATTAGGGGGGATGAAGACCAGCTGCACATTATGCAGTATATTGTGTTATGTAATGAATCTATAAAGTTGACAATATCCAAGACAGTCTGAAAAAGGTTATATCAGTTACCTGCACATTCATATCCCAATTTTATAATGTTGTAGAATGTTCTTTTTTAAGTGTTTCACTCTCAGGTGTTTGCATTTCAGAAAACTGTAAAAGTCCATTACAGTTTTAAATAAAATACATTGTTTCACTCAAAGCAAGGACTCCAAAAAAGTAAGGGTTTTATTATTTCAATTTAAGAAACAACAATAGGGAGTTAACAGAGACAACAAATGACCCAATCACAAGATAACAGCGAAACTAGTTGATATGTACAGTAACACCTTTTATCTAACTCTCCCTCCAGTATGGCCTCTATCTCCTGTTGAGATTATTATTATGTTTTGTCAGTCTGGACAAATTTACTAGATTGTGTTGTAATTTGAAGTATGCTTACAGTGGTCAGCACTGATTAGCTTATGCAATACTTATATTGTCTATGAAGATTCTCAGTCATCCAGGTCATAGTTATCCAACGAAGGTTAAAATCAAGGGCAACTTCCTGGGAAGTGATGAAAGGACCCCACTTACAATGCTGTCCTTTCATCACTTCCCAGGAAACTCAACAAACGTAACCTATTGGCCTCAGGTGAAGATACCAACGATGGTCGTTCAGTCTTGGCCACAGTATTCTTAACGACTGTAACGACTGTCGTCACAGCAACAAGGAACACTAACGAACCAGGTATCCATGACCCGGGCCAACGACCCCACTGAGGTTAAATAGCGGAGTTTCCCTGCCAGTCAGTCAGAACTGAAGAAGTCCTTTGGATGAGGGACGAAACGTCTTCCAGTATCTTCAACCAAGTCCAGTTGCCCTTGATTTTAACCTTCGTTGGATAATACTTATTTCTGTCTTTATAAATACTGCCAACCTGGAATCATTGCACTTAGGAGTAGACATGGATAAAATCCGCAATCCTAGTATATGTATTTTTACATTGCTTTATCAATATGTATCAAAATGAAGATACATTTTCTGGTAGCGTTTATGGATACAAAACAAATCTAGCAAATTTAATCATATTAATACAAAACATCCAACATTACTATAATGTAACCCTGCTCACTGTTTTTATAGCATTTTATATTGTCACATCGCCAACAAGAATTGAACTTAACACCACACTCTTGAAATAGGTCATTATTGCGGACATGGTCAATTAAAGTTTTGGTAAACATGTTTTATATGTGAATCAAACAAACATTTCCTGTCAGTTTGCTCATGATCAAGTGTACTGCTAAAAATAGACACAGACATATACAGTAATGACAGTAGAATACAGAGGCTGACATTTACTGAGGTGGGTGAAAGCACTTGTCAAATGTGGGACCTTACTAAGCCATGACACGAGCAGCAACTTACATCACAGCATAGCTGAGAGTGTTCGCCTGAGTGACAGATATGTGTTTGTATGTGCCCTTTTATAAGCATGTTAAGGCAGATTATGAGATTCTAATGTATAAGTAATAGTAAACTGATCAATAACAACACAAAGGTATCCGCTCTGTGTGTTTCTGCCACGCATTCATCCAACTGTGGGTTATGTACCAAGGCCGCTTTCTCAAAATTAAAGTGAAAGACTGAACCATGAAGTGGATCCTACATAACTGTGACAATGGCAACAAGACACAGACATCACTGATTCATTTGTTCTGATTGTTTTTAATGGTCAAAGGAATTTTGCTTATCTGCATCAAAACGTTTTCAGTATGTGAAGTATTTTCCTGTGCAGGAAAGTGAGTGTCTGTCCTGATCATTGGTAACTATCCTTAACACAGTACATTTCAGCTACAGGATATTTGCCTCTCTTTCAGCCTGTTATGTCTTGCCTCTTCAGTGGAGGTTGCCCCACCCTCTCACAATTACACAATCCATCATGGATGCATAAATAAGTTTCACAATCGTGGCAGACCTTGTTTTTTTTTTCCTAGACTAGGATACAACTGTAGACTCAGAGTAGAAAGGGCAGTTTGTCTTTTCAGATCTGTTAAATCAGAACTACTCTAGGTTTCCCTTCATCTGAAATTACTCATATTTACCTTTTAGCTGTGTTGTTTGTGTGTTTTACATTACTTATATACTTATATATATATGTCTTAAGGAAGGTTGACTTTATCTATTTATAATTATACTAGACCAGTACTGAAAATTATAATGCCAAACTTGTTTTGGATTTACTTCAAGTGCAGAGCAGATTAGGCAGCGATTTTCAGCCTGGCCTCTTATCCCTGTGGCAGCTTAAATCCTTTTTGCCTTTTATTACTCGTCCAGGGTGAAGATTTCCTCCCTTATTACTGTTGCTAACAGAGCCAACTGTTGGATGAAATGCTCTGTAATAATGATGAGTCAAGTAGTAGGTTTATCACTTTTATGTTGCAGTCTCAAAGTTAACCTCTAGTACATCTAAGATAGATTAATTTTGCAGATTATCTTACAACGATAAAACTGTAGCTAAATTAGATACCATCTTGAAGCACCATGCTGTGCCACCCAGCGAAAAAAACAGCAGAGATGTGAGAGTAACACAGTGAGGGCAGGAATGTGTCAAGAGAGTGCAGTGTGACCGTTCTGGCACAACAAGCATCTTCACAATTTTCAGATTATTCCATATCAGCTGAACAGAACGCAGCACATAAGAATTTAGGGAGAAAAAAGCTCACTATATCATATTCTAATAAAACCAGGATATTCATTTCTAAGCCGCATAGTGAAAACAGCTGAAACTGGCGCCCATAAGGGGTCATCTGGAGCCCATGATGGGTCCTCAGGGAATTTGTCCTCCAATAGTTATTGGTGTTTGGCCACAATCTCCCACATGGAAGTGAAATTCTATGTCTTGAAGCAGAACATATTTCAATTAGCATTCATTGCTCAATAACATAATTGACACCAGTTGTGATGACATGACTTCAATGCAACAATATATCATTATGAGGAATCTGCTATGACAGGAGATTCAGAGGAGTGAGAAACTGAGTGGAGCTGATACATGTTGCACAACATTAAGCTGAGATGGCTAGGGTGGAAGGTGTGGGTTGTGATGCAAACAGTCTAGTACATGTATATTTAGCGCGCTTACAGATTGGGACACAGTAAGTGGGAATATGTTGAGTGGGAATCTGTGAAGGAGGCCAAAGTTACAAACTTATCATCTCTTTTTTTCTTGCAAAGCTCTTGACAGACTACCTGACTTTGTCCACAACTCACTATGAGTGGATCACAAGTAGGGTTAAAGGGTAAATGGGAGGTAAAACTGAAAATGGGAGTACTGATGATTCCTGGGGTGGAAAGACAATAAGTTTAGTCTGACAGATTCATAGAGTCTTCTCCTTGAAGTGAAAGTTCAAGATGACTGGCCTTTGACTTAGTCATGGGGGCAGACATGTGATGACTGGTGTGCTGAAGGCAGTGTAGATGATCACATGGACGTGACATTGTTGGGGGACATATCCTCAAACTTATGACAACTGAAAAGGCCATGAACTCTTGTCCAGGTCAAAATGAAGGACGAACTGTGAATCACTGCATTCCCACTAGCTGACGAATACAAGCACTGAATAGAAGAGGCTTTGAACTGAAAGGGCGGAACTGCAAATAGAGGGTGACAAGGCGCAGACTTGTGCAATGTTGCCTGCACATCAGGAGTTGCTGCACAGTAGCATTCTAAAGGCAAAAACAGGAGACTTACTGTTCGTTGACGACAAAGATGCAGTTGTCTTGTGAGGGTAAGCTTGAGACAGGATGCTTGCAGGTCACCTTCCGCTCATTGTGACTATTTAGAATAGGAAGGGGGAAAAGGGGGGAAAAAAGAATGTCCAATCTTAGAAAGCAGTGCATACACATGCCTCTACAATAATCCCATCAATAATACTTGATCTATCATTAAAAATGATTAATAGATTTGCAGATTTTGACCTTAAAACCCAAACATATTTTCAAAGAACTCCAGCTCTAAAGGTTTGAGAGACAACCTTCTTCACCTGCAAAACATGAGACCAGCTGAGGTAGTGTTTGTATTGGCTAGGTCAAAATGGGAATACTGATTGGAGACAGGACAGATACACAATATGGAAATAATATTAGCAAGCTGAGCCAAAGGTGGAATTCATTAATCAAAAACTAGTCCAAACTGTAAAACTATGAAAACAAGAATGCATGGACATGAACAAGCACTCTTGGCACAAAAATCCGGACAAAAACAAAACAACACCTTAAGTACCCCACAAAAAGACAAAGTATTAGCGTTACAGTCTCGAACACAAGCTGAAAGATGTTACATAGAGCATACAGAGCAAAAATACATTTTTCCTTTTCAGATAGGAGCACCATAGCTTTAGCTTTTACAGGTTGCAGCAGGCTGTTGTGCCAACCTACATCAACATCTAATGACAGACATACTGAAGATGCCACCCACCCATCCTGTTGGTCAATTGCAGCAGCCCACAGTCACTTCCACCCTAACATGATTAGAACACCAGGACACAGACCACACAATCTTTGGAGAGGAGGAGTTGAAGAACTGGGGCCTAACAACAGCAGCTTTCCAGTAAAGTAGAGCCTGTTCAGCTGTTTGTGTGATCTGGATCTTGGGCGGAAGGCTCAGTAAACGTTCCAGAAAGAATCACAAGCTTCACTGTTCCTTATTGTTACTAGTAAATCAAGTTTTTGTTTCAACAGTGTAATTGGAATAGTTCATCAGCTTCCTATCTCATAACCTACAATTTAGAGATAGGAAATCGATAGTTATTTGATTTACTGTCAGTGAGTTACAGTGATTGGAAGTTTCGGAGCTGTAGAGAGTATTTTGTTGATATATTAATCAAATATATTGACAGCAGCGGAGATTAAACAAGACATTACACAATATGAGTAAAGATAAGAGCTGTCAGAACAGTGCTATGCTACTATTTGCTGGACAGTTATTTTACATTCAACTCATCAGGCTGTACTATAAACAGAAGAGAGTCAAACTACAGCCCAAAAATAACAGTTTTTAAACTGGGGTACTCGTGTACTGAAAAGAGCAAATACCAACCATGAATTGGGGGTTTAGTTTCAGTTTAGCCTGGAGAGAAACAGTCTCCACAGCTCTGGTCTATAATTATTGAAGGCACTGTTGGCAGCAGAGCACTCTGTGCGGTCTTGGGGCAGATCAACGGCACTATTTTTCTTTGGTATCCCTTCACACATGCTTATACTGTTCAGCACATATGTTGGCTATAGTTTTAAAAGAAAGAAAGAAAGTCTGGATAGGTATTTATGTACACAGGAATGGGAATGATGTTATGCAGAACAGTAGAGGGAATTTAATAATCAGTTCCAAACTATCCAATACTTTCAGCTTTGATACACTTGATTCCTTTGCAAATACTGACTAAATGCATGCACCGCACGTTTTCTTTCAAGTGGCATGCCTAAAAGGAAAAGAAGTTTAAATGGGTGCATTTTGTCAACCTATTAATTGCCAATGCATGTCAAGTCATTGCAGGAAAGTAAAGTGTTTTATAACTTCTAGAATAATTTACTTTGATTGACTATTGTATCCACTTTGGTATGGATAGTTTCTCTTATTGAGTGGCTACAAAGGCATCCATAAAGCACTGTCCACCATAACACCATATGTTTACTGCTTTACTGCACTACATTAGAGTGATGTATTATCAGTTCCCTGGTGTGGAATGGCATGCAACCCTTATATCTATACACATACGTATTAACACTTGTTTGGAAGGGTTTCTGCTATTGCTATTTCACTGGGAATCAATATCATGTCTGCAGCTATATGCAGTTTTCAGTTGGGCTCAGCTCATTGTTTGGTTTGGTTTATGTGGTTCAGTTCCAATAGCTCTAAATTATGGTATAGTAAGTATGTACTCTCAGCACACAAGCTCACAAACCAATTGTACACTACTTGCCCAATGTAAAATGGTTAAGTAAAAACATCCAAAGAAAACAAGTCAAACATCTACTGTAGCTAGCCACAAGAGGCCGAGACATTTTTCTCAGAGCAGGCAGACCAGCCTCCTAGCCTTGGCATACCAAAGCGACTAAAAGGTTGATTTGCCTTCGTGATGAGAGTGATGTCCCTTACTCATTCTATGCAAAGAGAGGCTCCTATATGATGGCCACGTTGCTCTGTTTCTAAAATATTAGCCATACAAATTTGATACTGGAACTTGCGATTGACCCAAAAACACCCTGATTAAAAGCAAACCCCCTTAACACACTTGTTTATCAAGTTACTGATGGGACAGAAAGTCAAAGAAGATGGTTCAAAATACTTGCTGATGTACCCTACTTATTCGGATCACAACAATTTAGACATTTACTTTCTGGACCACTATATACAGTATTACATGGCTAATTGATATTTGTTTGATGACTTGGCCCCATTAATTATTGAATCCAACCAGATCCTGAGTACTAAAGTTCATCCGGCCCACTCCTCCTTGAGGGCAGATATGATATAAGGATATTTTCCCTGTAAAAATCAATAGATTGGCACATCAAATAAATAAAATTCAATGTCTGAATTAAATCAAGTAACCAACTGAAATGCATAACCAGTTTTATATGTTAACAAAGTACAAGCAGATGAACCTGAAATTAAAAAGGATGTAAATATATTGCCTAAAAAAAGTGTTCAAAGCTATCCGTAACAATGTTGTCTTCAAAATGAAGTTGACCATGGTCATTAAGGTT